GCTCCATCATTTCGCCTTCTAACGATTTTCGGAAGGCGACTAAATTTCACTGCAGAATCCTCTTTTTGTGAACTTTTTCCACTCTTGTTGCCACAGCCAACAATAATACACAGAACCATGGTAAGAGAAACTCATATAAGATTGATCTTTCACAGTTTAAATCGATAAATACAGCTGTAAATACAATAAGTGACCAGCTCACGCTTTCTTTCTTGGGACACCAACATAGCGGATAGTAAGGTTGCTAGGAAACCAAGTCACGTGAGTGAAAACACTCTATATTCTCTAGAGAACACACTTCCGTCAAAACTTTGACCAAAGTAATTTTTGATCTCTTACAGTGGCAAGAAATTGCAACGCTGTCATTGCCAAACAAAGCTGCCATCGCTTCTCTCATCTGAACAACATTTCGCGGGCATTTTCGTCTCGGAGCCAATTACATTACCCGAAATCGATGACGTGTCATTTTTTCCAGAGCATGCGCAGACATTTTTTGCCGGTGAAATTCTACGCATACTCCTAGATCTTTCGCACGCGCTGATCACGGCAGAGTGCGATTTGTGCCAGAAGGAAAAATAACTGGGCTGTGCCACAGGCAGCCCAGTAATTACTTGGAAAATAAATCGCGAGAGCAGACACTATAGCCACATACGTGCAAAAAACATAACAAGTAAGAATTTCAAAGCAGTCTACGAATGTAAATTGATAGCAAACATGGAATGATATGTAATAAAGGCGCCAGCAACATAGGTTCAGTTAGAAGGGCAATGTTGTGTACCATTTTTGTTTGGAAAACCGCTTGTTAAAAATACTTTTTCAAATCGTTTCCCCAAAAAACGCTCAGATTGTGAATCTCAAAAATCCGGATTTGGATTTGATCCGAAGAATCCACCTAGAGTGTGGATTTTATGGATTTATGATCCGTTTTTGGATTTGCCCGAAGAAACGCAAAATCCGTTTTTGGATTCGGAAATCCGGAGTTGGATTTTGCCAAAAAAACGCAGCCTGTCAGTGTTAACTCGAATAGCCTGCAGGAAGCTTGTAGCCAAAGATTATGTGTATATGTAAATTTGCTTAATTCCTTGTTACATATTTAATGCAAAGTTTCCCGATCTTTTCATTGTTTTCCCTCTCGACAGAAACGGCACATAATTTCCTGTGTTATGACCCTATCTAGAAATCAGTATCTGTTTCTGTTAAGTCTTTCTTTACTGTAGCTATATGGCCGGTAACCGGTCAAGGTTTTCAAAACACTATATGGCCGGCAGTCCTATATTATCAGTAAATTTCACAAACTCGAAAGATTCTAGCTAATCTAAACTATCATATGTCGATTCAGACAGGTCAAGCGATCCTGAAATGCTTTATAGATCTCAAGTCTAGTGTTTGGTTTCGTCTTCGGAGTTCAGCGTAAACCAAACACTAGACTTGAGATCTAAAGCATTTTAGGATCGCTTGACCTGTCTGAATCGACATATGATTGGATCATTCTTCCGTGTAATGTGTAGGACTTCACACTTCTCGGTCTTAAGAGTAACAAGCCAACTCTTGCACCATTCAGAGGCAGATGTCAAATCCTCTTGAAGTAGATCGCAATCCGATCTATTTTCTATGTGCCGATGAAGGACAGTATCGTCAGCAAACAAATCTGAGTTGCAGGTTACTGAGTAAACTTGAGATCTATAAAGCATTTCAAGATCGCTTGACTTGTCTTAATCGACATATGATAGTTTAGATTAGCTAGAATCCTTCGATTTTGTGAAATTTACGGAATATGGGACTGCCGGTCATTTAGTGTTTTTAACACCTTGACCGGTTACCGGCCATATAGCCACAGCGTTCTTTCAACGCGGTGTTGGTAGAGTGAGAGCTTTGGGTAGGCAATAAAATTACCTTAGAGAGAGATTTATTGTTCCTTTCTGATCAAAGATACGAGAGAGTGTCTCATTATAAAGAGGGTGTCAAAATGACTGTCTGATTTACAAAACAACCAATAAACCAATAAAGCGCTATAAGCAGCTAAAGTATGTGAAACACTGTCTTATTAAAAACTGGCCAGCCGTCTGTCTCGTAGGGAAATATTCATTACAATAATCTAAACGGATGTCTTTCAAAGCAACTACCTCATTGTTTTTATTTTTTTTCTAGTTGTTTCATCCATTCAACGACAAAAACAGCACTTTCAGGGAGCAATTTTGACAGTGAAGCCATGTATGGACACAATACTAACCAAGAATGATCAAGGCCTGGAGGTACCAGTTTTGAGTGTTAAAGAACAGTTTGTTTAGCGACTTCATTCTTTAAGCCCGAGTAGTTTTCTTGTAAGAGCAATACTTTTATGAATAATTTCATTAAAAAGTAATGGAAACTTTATTTATGTTTTTGTTGAATGTACAATTGTAAATCTCGCTACGTATAGGCAATTTACAAATGCTACTTGAGATTGAATTATTCAAAAAAAAAAAAAAAAAAAAAAAAAAAGAGAGAGAAAGAAAGGAAAAAAAACAAGAAAAGCAAAATTGCATTAAGTCTGGGCTAACTCAATTCCTGTTTCTACCAGAAAAGATATAATATGTTGCTCTAATGGCTATATTTATCATTTTCTTGATTATATAAAGTTGATGCTTTTTGTCAATGCCAATGTCATTCATTCATCATGTCTAAGAACGTGGAGCATTCGTCGGAGGAAACGCCAAAAGAGCTCATGGAGAGATTTACAAATTTCACACATCTGTGATTTCTACTCACTTCTTGATCAAGTTCAGATATTTCAGCTTTCTTTTTTTACGCAGTACATTGTTATTAAGGTTTGACTCAAAACCGATAATACGGATAATAATCAATAATAATCCTCTTTCCTATTTTGAGGTTTTCTGTGATAATGAACCAATTTTTGCAATAATTGAAATGGAACATAATCCACATAATATGGGTAAGAATCCGAATTGGTGGTGGCAAACCAGTTGCCTATTTTAGAAAGTCCTTGGGGAGGGGGGAAGGGGGGGTACTCGACCAATATTTGGGTATTGGTTAGCTGCTGATGAAACCCTAACCTTGTTTAGGACAAGAAATTCCCAAAATATTAATACCCAGTTCAGGACAGTTATCACTGGCAATTCGGGCTTTTTGTTTATTCTTTTGATAGGAGGAAATAACCTAAAAATCCAGCAGGTATCTTTATTACCTGCCTCTACGCCGGGGTTGTGGGGACCGCGGGTAGGGGGGGGGAGGGCAGGGGGCGAAGCCCCTGGGAGCTCCTGGGTTTTAAGTGTTTCAAAGGGCTTTCGACAACATCTCCATTTACCATTTTTAAAGAATTAGTTGTATAAGATTTCTTGAATTTTACAAACTATGTTTTTTATAAAATAATAGATATTTATTGAACTAATGATAAGTAATGATTCTATTATATAAAATATAAATTGTTTTAAGTAACATACTTTCAGGTAAGCTTAAACGAGAAGAGAGAGTTTGAATACTGCAGATGATCGATTTTGCAAACGGATAGAAAAACGCTAGACCGATCGGTGGACGATTGCATTAGATTAACTTGTCATTTTGACACTTATTATTAACAGATGTATGTAACGCCATTTTATTGATTTTCACCCCCCCCCCCCTTTTCGCCGCTTCGGCTGAAAACCAAATTCGGAAAACTTCTTTTGCCCCTTTGATTTTCCGCGTGTGGACGCCATATTGATAACGTCTCTCAAAAAATGATGAGAGTCCGCACAGGCCGTCAGAGGAATGGAAAGCAAACATGGCGGAGATCGATGTTCTTCGTTGTTTCTGTTGTCTCTTAGGCCGAATTGCTTAAAACAACAAGCGCAATTTCTTCAGCAGATTATGAAAGTTATGCTTTGCGAAGATATAAACACGTGAAGAGAATATACCGTAATTTTTAGGGAGTTATTATAACTCCAAAAATGGAGTAAAAATTTTAGGTACAGGATAACCCCTGTTTGGGGTTATTTTAACTCCTAATTTAACTGTGAATTTGGGGTCACTTTTACTCCCTAAAAAAGAGGTCTTTTTACTCCCAGTCAGGTGTTAAAATAACTCCGAAATGGGGTTATTTTTACTCCGAAATGGGGTTATTTTTACTCCTTACATAGGTTGTTTTTACTCCTTTTGGAGTTAATTTAACTCTGAAAGTGGATTAAAAATTTTAGGTATAGGTTATTTTAGGTTATCTCAACCCCTCAATTCTGGGGTCACTTTTACTCCTGAAAAGAGATCTTTAAACTCCTTTTTCGTTTAGACCTAAGTCAAATATGAGGTTACGGGCGGTGAATAACAAGTCTAACAAAACAAACAGTGAAAAAAGAATTCTCTATTTTCCTTAGTCACATCAGGCTTCAAAAACAGCATAGCAGTCTCATGTACTGATTAAAGATGTGTAGGGCATTGGTAAGGAGTCCATTACGTTGAGCATGGAATTGGCTAAAACTTAATGTTACGAGTTCGAATGTTATTGACTATCAGCACGTAGCGATGTCGGATTAACACAAGGAAGTTTAATACCAAAGGAACATAGCCTTTACAGAGCTTTAAAACACAGCATCCGCCAACACAAACTTGACTTGAACTTAAGTAAAACTAAACATCCTCTGTCAATGATAACAAACTCTCACTTGAACTTCAGATATCTTACGGCTTCCGCCAACTTGTAAACACAGAACTTGCAAATCGACCTTCGTCACACTTGACTTAAAACGCAGTCCACCTCGTGGGAAAAAACTTAGTTCGTCAAAAGAACTCGCTTGGAACTTGTATACCGTTTGACATAAGGTTCTAGAAATACTAAACAGGCGAATAGTAATAGCTTTTTCAAATACTTTATGATTCCAGTAACTGATGGAAATCTGCTGACTCGTTCTGAAATGTAAACATGCCCTAATTAATTATTCCTGTCTGAATAATCCAAAAACGTAGAGAACGCTCGAGAAAGTCACGCAACGCATGAAAGCAATTTTACTACGTAACACTCAACAAAGACAAAAATGTCTTTGTACAACATTTTGTAACTTTAAATTCATCATGAAACAGTTCGAAAGGAGGGCTCACTCATGAAATGTTTTTCAACACTCGAAGAGAAATTTCGTGTCTCTGCGCGGCCATGTAATATTCTCTATTTTCATTCCTCCACAAAATTATTAAAGAACTACGGCGACGGCAACCAGAACCTCACAAAGCAATTGGTTAGCTTGTTAGCAAAACAACAACTCTGCACGTGCATCACACTTTTTTGTACATTTCTTTGCCGTCACTGCACCACTACGACGAGAATTGCCTAATTTCACGTTTTATCGACAACGTGAACATACGACGACCAATCTCTCTCGCTCTTTTTAAACTTTGATATTTTTCTTAAGAATTCAACTCCAGGAGAGTTCGCCTACATAAAACATAGTGATCGAGTTGAGATAATCGCGCTAAAGTTTCATAGACTGAGAAGTCACTTCTTAAGCTACATTTTTGCCGCCGTCGCCGTCGTGGTATCTTAAATTCCCTAATCCCTCAACTTAGAGTCTCCTCTGATCTGACGGGTCACACAGGTAAGTCGGTTCAAAGCCCGGGAAGCTCTTTCTACCTTAAAAACTGAGTTAAATCAAAGAAATCGAAGAGATCTCGAGATATCTCGAACTAATTCGGCTCTCACTTCGTCAAATAGCCGAATAAAACGGAAAACCTACAGACTTTGCGTGTCCAATCTTGGAAAAAAAAGTCAACTTTGATACATTACTGAGCGTCGCAAATCCTTTACTTTGCGCTGATCCGCCGAAGTAATTATGTACCCTGTTTAGGACAAACTCGCACGAAATTATATATCCTATTTAGAAAAGAGAGGATAAAACCCATATCCTGTACAGGGGCACATCAGTAGAGCCGCGGGTACAAAGTGAGGCCAAGGATTTAAACTTGGGGTTATCGAGAACAAATCCAGCTCGCGGTCAGGGTGGGGATTGGAACGCAGGGACTCGGCTACGCTGCCTCCCTCCCAGTCAGAGAGGTCATGAGAATTAAGGATATCATCGGCTCAGATACACTTTCTTGCTATCTTCATAGATAAAAACTTCCCCTTCCTACACTGCCCTAAGAAGGGCGGGGGATAAAAAGAGAAATAAAAAAAATAAATAGAAGTTGCAAAAATTAGAAGAGAAGACAGATTAGTTCTCTCACGAAACTGAATGCTTTCCCTCAGCGCCTTAAATCTCTGACCCTAATCCTAGTGCGTCACCGTTAATAATATCATAGGTGACGAATTACTCCTTAATTTTGGCGCGAAATTTCAGCGTTAATTTGTAATTACAAAATTGCCATGGCAACCTTTCATACGTCTCAGTGTCACGATGGCGACGAAGTTTTAAAATGCCGTGAATGAAGATGTCAGGGCACAAAAAGACGCTTTAGAAAACCTGAACACTCAAGAGAACATCAAGAAGGACTCTAATAGGTATTTTTACCGAAAAAGTCTGAAAAACTCCGAACTTCATAAGCCAAATTTAAGGTCTAAACATTTGAGAGAGTGGAGTTCTCGATCGATACGATCCAGGATAAACATGTCAAAAATCGAAGATTGCTAACGCAATTCGTCACCCATGATATTAATAGGTAATCAAATGGCCATGGTATACTCGTGAAATTAGGGAATAATTTCACTTGCGTTTTGTCCAAATCCTAATAATTTCCCATGCCTAAAGGCTCGGGAAATTATAAGGATTTGGACAAAACACAAGGCGAGGGAAATTATTAGGATTTGGACAAAACGCAAGTGAAATTATTTCCTAATTTCACTCGTCACCATTTGGTTACACATACTTATTGCCTTTAGCTGTGAGAAGGAATGAAGCACGGGGTGCGCCGTTTTCTCACAACAAATGGCTAATTTTAATTTTTTCGGCCTTTTAAAATTATTTTTAGGTATTTCAAGTGGTATTTGCTGATCTCAACTTGGAATTTGTGCAGTCTGTATCGCTCGAGCAAACGAGAGCTCTCTTGAAAGACATCGGTAACGAAAATGGCGTCCGATGGATTGAAAGAGCCGAGACTTTCTCGATTTCAGGAACATTTCAACAAGTAGAACAGACTCGTAACCTCTTGAAGGAGACTGTAAGCCAATCCAATGGAATAACTGTTTTCACTGGCCTGAAAAGAAAAGACATATCACAGGAACGACCGCCATCTCACGGCGAGATAGAAAATCAGGAAGATGTCAGTCAAAACATCAATAATGGATCCAACACAGATGATAGGAGCTCTACAATATCCTTCCAAATTCCAGATTTTGAGATAGAGCCGAAACTTTTTAAAATTTTTATCGAAGCATATGAAAAAGATCTTCACGACATGGAAGCCAAGTATCACGTCCAGATACCCAAGATGGCCGAGGGTAGCAAGTTAAGTTTGAAACCAGAAAGTTCGTGTACTGCAAATGATTACGAAGAGGCCTGCAACCAGTTTATCAGCCTATACCAAAAAATGTTCCAGCGTGTTAAAAGGGAGCGTTTCTCTCTCAAAAATGAGCAAAAGGCTGTTCCTGCTCGGGACACGATAAACAAAATGGGTAAAAAGTTGCCAATTTTAGTACAGTTATCCCAAGATCGAAAGCACTGGGAGCTCTACGGGGAGGTGGGCCATATTGAAGAGGCTTTTAGATATCTCGAGCATGAAGGAGTGGAAATAAAGAGGGATCAAGAGCAGTTTATGGAAGAAGATTCACAAGATTACTCCAGCGGTGTCAAGACAACAACTAATCGGCTAGAGACCTTCTTACTAGGCAAGTGAAATATCGGTTGTTGTCTAGGTTTATCGTCCACAAATGTTATCTGAAGATATAAGTCGAAATCCAGGGTGGTCTTTCTTTTAGGTAACTGTTGACGCATCCTTTGTGTTATTAGTAGGTTCACAGGACGTATGTCCTTCCCTGCATTTTGATCCTCCCTTGACGTTGCGTTCCTGATATAATAAGATTTTTTTACCATTTAGTGCCCGTACTAATTCATCAGATAAGTCTTCTTTCCATGTTTTTGAAATCGTACCAAACGGAATGACATCTTTGGAGTAAAACTCTGACTGACTCTATTTGGAGCATTAACCCGTTCGTGGCCAAGATTTCCTCGACTATATTCCAGCCATGAATTTAAAGCGAAAGCGAAAAACACGGGACATTAAGCTCTTCATTTTAAAGTTTTTCGAAGCAGTTTTTCGCAGACCATACAGATGTTTTTCAGTCGCCTTAAAAAAGATTTTATCCTTGTCCGGATCGCCAAAAAACTTTCACCAGTCATTGGCTATGAATTAAAGTTTGTCAAATGCAGTTTTTAGTAAAATCACTATGACAACAATTAACAAAAAACTTTCAAATCGATCAAATCCGAATTTCGCGCGATCTAGACCTGCTACTCAAAATCCGACGCCAGGAACTTGACGTGTGGTGTTCAGCGAATAACCTCCGTGAGAAGGAAAAATTGTGTACGTTTGAATTCAAATAAAACGTAAACATATTTCAAACCTTATGTTTTCAATCGCCGTGATAATTTTTTTTTTGTAATAACAGTGAATCAATCTCAATGAAAGTTTCAGACATTATTATATACATCATGAAGGTTATGTGATAAGGTTTAAAAAGAATTCTGCCCAGGCGTTTTAGAGATATAGAAAAAAGCGCTAAAAGTCGAAATTTAGAATAAAGTTGCACTTAGACAGGTGGTAAGAAAACAGGTTAGTTTTCGGGATCGCAAGAAAGGAAATACACCAAAATTTCCATGCATCGAAATCTGCGGATTAATTTGTCGAGTTATTTAGAACTTTTTTGTTAAATAATTTATCACGGCCATTGAAAATAGAAGGTTTGAAATATATTTCCGTTTTATTTGAAATTAAACATACAGAATTTTTTACTTCTCACGGAGGTTATTTGCTAAACACCACACTTTTAGTTCCTGGTGTCGGAATTTCAGTAGCAGGTTTAGATCTAGCCTGCGAACAGCAGACATATTTCCGGTCGTCGCTTCTCTCCCTCCTAATTTCGTCGCTTCTCTCCCCCCCCAAAAATTAGGAGGGAAAGAAGCGACGACCGGAAATACGTCTGCTGTTCGCAGGCTAGTTTAGCTCTCTGCGTTTATTGTTGTCATAGTGATATCGATTTTACTAGAAACTGCATTTTGACAAACTTTAATTCATAGTTAATCAATGGTAAAAATTTTGTGGCGATCACACAAGGATAAAATCACTTTTAAGGCGACTGAAAAAACATCAGTATGGTCTCTAAAGAAAAACTGTATCGAAACACCTTAACTAAGACTAAAAGAATGTTACTAACCGTTCAGTATTTTTAACTGTTGAAACTATCCTTTTATAGTGTTACTTTATCAAAATATGGAAATGAACGTGAATCGCTGAGATCGAACGTAGTTTTACCTTGTCCAGTGCTCAGTTAGTGGCTTGCGCGATTTCAGCTCTCGCCGGCATTAACTCTTTTCTTTACTAGAACAAAGGTCATAAAGTTGATCTGAGCTAACGTCTTTAGGGTGGGTTCCTTTGGCATGACCCGGATCAGGATCAGTGATCCGAGATCATTCGGATCATGATCCATCAAAAAGACCCGATGAATCCTTTCCCAGAGTGGATTCGTTCACTCCTTTGCTGCACTATGATCCGCGTGATCATAGGGATCACTGATCCTGACCCAGATCATGCAAAGGAACCCATTCATACGTTACAGTGCCGAACACACTTAGGTGTCATCAGCCAATCACAGGTCTCGACAAAAAAATCTCACTTTGGTAGCTCGTTAGCCAATTCTAAACGAGAACCGTTGCAGTTTCAAAGTGTCTGTGACGTGCTTGAGTTTCTTTAATTTTTTAGATGGAAAAGTAAAGGTTTCAGCTTACAAAGGCGACATTACAATGGAAAAAGTCGATGCCATTGTAAATGCTGCTAACGAGGATCTTGTACATGCGGGAGGCGTAGCCAAGGCCATTCTTGACAAAGGAGGAAAGACGATCAGGGAAGAGTCGAGAGCAATCATTCGAAGGTTTGGTGTGCTGAAAGATGGGGAAGCAGTCACAACAAAATCTGGAAAATTGCCTTGCAGTGTGGTGATTCATGCTGTTGGACCAAAATGGGAGCGAGTGGAACCGAGGAAAAGCAAAAGGATACTTCATCAAGCCTGTCTAAACGTTTTCTCTGAAGCTGAAAAACTAAGTCTGGACTCCATAGCAATACCAGCGATCGGTTCCGGTATATATGGGGTACCGAAAGACGTTTGTGCTGAGGTGATGCTTGATGCTGTGGAAGAATATGTTACAAAAGTCAGCCGAAATAATAAAAAACTTACCGACATAAGATTGGTTGACCTAGATGATCTCTCCGTTCAGGCCTTTCAAACAGAGTTTCTGTGTCGATATGGAGACAAACTTGTAACAGAAAGTGGTAACAACCTCAAGGCGCAGCCAAGGTCGAATCGTGGTAGGAGAGGCAAGGGCAGAGGGTCGAAAGGTAGTGGCTCAACGAATAACTCTCCTGGCAGTTCTGATGTTCGTGACGATCATCCTTTGAGTGCAACAGCCACATCTTATAGTGGTGCAGTGAAACGAAATGTGGGCGAGAAGGATGGGAAGGCGCCGACAACAGCTGGTGGAGCCAAGGCAGATAAGGAAGAGGAAGGTAGAAATGGTACTTGTTACGTACAAACGCTTTAATTTATATACCGTCGAACCTCTCGGTACGGAAACCTCTCTAATACTGACACCTCTCTATTACGGACAGTTTCCAATGTCCCGACAAAATTCTCATATATTTTCGTTAAAAAAAGCCCTCTATGATACGGACTCTCTCTAATACGGACAACGGACACAAAATCTCGGCCCCAGACATTAAGTTCATATAAACTTAACCTCTTTATTACGGATACTGCGGTGATCAGGGGAATCCCGAATCCCGATTAGGTGAATCTCCACAGGGTGAATCCCGTCTAGTCTGGCTGATGAGCTTTGCAAGATGATGTAAAGCCCAGTCGCTGTATACCAAACAACGATTTGCGAGGGCTTCAATAACTACAGATAGCATAAAGATCTTTCTATTACATTTTGTACTCTAGTTTCTGTTTACTACACTTGCAAAATAGCGAAAGACGCTTTCAGAATTGTGCTTTGAACGTTACAACTTTTTACATGCAGCATTGCGCTCTAGCTCGTTCGTTTTAAAACAGTAATTTGTCTGTAGCTGAGATGTACAATATTGTATGTTACTGAAAGACAGTACTTTGAATTAATAACTTTAAAAGCAGTACAAAGACGAGTGTAACCTTGGTTTCAGCTACTGAATACTTAAAGCTGTAAGTGGAGTCATAAAAGTGACGTCATCATAGTGACCTCTTTTATACGGACACCTCTCTAATACGGACACCTTGCTCTGTCCCTTCGGTGTCGGAATTACAGTGGAATTAGAGAGGTTCGACTGTAAATGATACCCTAAATAAGTGACGCTCATGACTCGGAACACTAAACATAGTTCAAAACTACTGGAAGGTGCAGTACAAACACTAATCTAAACCCGTGCACTTCAGTAATGATCACTTTGTCTCAGGATTTTGTAACGTACTCAGTCGTTTCAGAATCTATCGTGTTTTTTTAGAACTATACTTAAACGCGATACTGCATGATATTTATTGCCCTCAGTGTGCACTCCAGTGTGTCTCCTTTTACTCCGAACAGTCAAATTTCGCACAAGAGAGAATGATCTCTTGATTTCGTATTAAAGTTAGCATTATATTATCGTAATATAGAGCGGTTTTCACTTGACTGTCGAAAGGGATTGGTTTTGGTTTTGGTTTTACTACGCCCTTTGGTTGGCTAGTGTATTTACTTTGGTTTTGGTTTTACGACAGTCAAGTGAAAACCGCTCTATTACAAACTTAGTATCACAGCTTCCTTGACATAATTACATGTACTTCTCCCCGTTTCAACTATCATTACAGGTCAGCTGGCGATATGTTAAGCGAGACTTAGAGAGTAACAAGTCTGTTATCAGTTAATCTTTGCGAGATAAATCAGTTACAAGATCCTTAAGTTGACGTAAACTAAACAGCGAAATTACCCCTTTTCAGTAGTTTGCAGTACAAGTAAGAATGAGAAAAGAATAACCGTGACTAAGACGAACAGTTAGGTTTACTGTGGAATGTTGCTGAAAGGGAACTCACCAAGAGAATGATGTAATCGCCGATTAATCTCAGTGATGTTTTGGCTAAACACGCATCAGTTAAAGAAGATCGTAAATGCCGTAAAAAATGTACATCTGAATGCTATTGTTGTTTTCCCTTTTTTTTAGAAACATGCCCAATTTGTCTTGATCATATCACTGGGCCACGACGTTTGAAGTGTCGGCACGTGTTTTGTTCAGTGTGTCTTCAACAAGCGCTGAAAGTGAACAACAGGTGCCCCGTGTGTCAAGAACCTCAAGGAGCTCTTCGAGGAAACCAGCCAGGAGGAGAAATGACAAGCTATCACGAGTCATATAGAAGTCTCCCAGGTTACCCAGGTGATTTTAAAATTCGTTTACAAACGACCAACCGCTGGCGACATTAGGAACCTACAGCAAACACGACGGTACTGTTAGTGGCACCGCGAGGTTCAAAAAGTAGTAGGCCGAAAAATCAACAGCAACAGCAACGACAACTCTGCATGGGCGTCACAATAATAATAATAATAATAATAATAATAATAATAATAATAATAATATAATGATATTGATGATAATAATCTCACAAATTTACTTCATAAGAGACGTTTTTAGTTCCGTAGCCATCGTCCTTGCTCTAACTTTCTTGTATCACAGAAATGATATGTGTAATGTTAGTAAGCAGCCAAGGCGGCGCCCTGAAAAATAGGTTGTAGCGCAACATATCTAGTTGGAAGGGGAATAGGTGAAGGTGGAGTTCGTCAAAGAAAGCGACATATCAGTGACATATCAAGTTCCAGTCGCTCGACTGCTATTTTAGATTAACACAGCTGGGTCTCTGAATAAAGGCTCTCTCATTCGATTTGATTGTGGAGCACGCCTCTCCAAGTGAAAATGAGTTGACTTGATCCCGCTCAATTTTCTTTCAAAAAGCTCCCATTTGAAAATCGAGGAAGGTTTAGAGCAGCGATTTGAGGGGCGGACTACTTTAATTTCTGTGGGAGCGTAGGCTGTCAGTTTTTTTAAAAACCTCTTGAACTACAGCTTGACTAATTTATTCTTGCGCAAAGAGGAGTTGACGGACGAAAGGATCTGCATATGCCTGTACATGTACTCTGCTTTGCCTGTTTGCAGGGTGTGGCACAATCATCATCAGATATTACTTTCCATCTGGGGTTCAGGGCCAAGAACATCCACACCCTGGCCATCATTACGAGGGTACTTCAAGGGAAGCTTATCTTCCAGGCAACCGTGAAGGACGAGAGGTTCTACAGCTACTAAGTAGAGCATTTGACGCTCGACTGGTGTTTACGGTTGGCACTTCAAATACAACGGGACGTCCAAATCAGGTGGTATGGAATGATATTCATCACAAAACTAGCACGAGTGGAGGACCTACTGGGTAAGAATACATAAATTAGCTGACCAGGGTATCACTTTAAGGCAAGAATCAATAAATTAATGAAAGGTGTTATGAACACCAGTAATTGTTACTGCTGAGGATAAGTCTGTGATGGACTAGCATCCCGGGCGGACCGTCCAGGATTGAGTTGCAATTCTCGTATGCACTTCATGCTACAGAAACCGGGATAAGCTTTTATACTATTGGCCTCATTGGCTTTATTTGCCCTTATCCCTCCCCTTTGCTTTTTTTCATACGCGTGCTCAGTTATTAAGGAATTTTTTGGAAAAAAAAATTTATAAACCTGAATTTGACCATATATGACGGGCCAGCAGCCTGATAAAGTAGTTAATAAAAAAGAGGGGAAACCAATTGAAAAACTGGCAGGGCTATTTGTTATTTAGTACACAGCTTTCAAGAAATATTGTCCCAGGAAAGTCACTCAATCAATTAAGAAATAATGTAACAAAATTATGAATCATTAATACACAGTTATTCATCCCTTACAAACACATGTTGTTTTGTTTAAAGGTTTGGATATCCTGACCCAGATTACCTGCGGCGAGTTAAAGAAGAGCTTGCTGCTAAAGGAATCCGCTAATGAAACTGAGAAACCTTCTTACGCGGCACCTGAACGTTCTATTACTACTGTTCAGCTGACAGCATGATAATGTCGTCAGTAAAATAGGTGTACGTTGCATGTAGATTGCTACTAAATCATTTTTTATAAATTTTTAAGCCATCATGGTTATATAGAATGAAGATTATTTAGGGCACCCACCATTAGACAGTTTACAAGACAAAGAACACCTGCAAGCGCAGGGTTGCCTTTGTCAGTGATGTGAGCACATTAGTTGGTAAACAAAATTTTGCAAGCGAACAAGGAAGGTGATTGACAACGGTACACTCTTACTACTGTTTGAGATGCCAGGTTACACCTTGTCTTGTCAAAATCAAACTTACCGTGCATTAGGTAACCGTGCTACGGGTCAGTTGTAAGCATAAGATAACCTTAAGGGTTGTGTTGTTTAAAGAAGAAACCCATTTTTAGCGAGAAATTTGAATTCAGATGTCAACGCTTACAAGGGAAATTCAGGTTAATTTTTTTTGCCAATAATTTCACGTTTGGATGCTCTTAAATAAATAGTTAAAATTCAAAGATAATTAAATGCTTTTGAACAACGTAAACAGAAACCTGGATTTAATTTTTACCCCTGCATGATTAGCGATAATCGACCTCTTCGAATGACTACTTAGCTCAGTAGCCAAGCCGCTCGTCAATTCCGCTGCCATCTTTTCCACTAATTAAGATACCCTAAAAAGACACGATGTGAAGCCTCAATGTTCCTTGACTTTTTTTCTCTTAGAACGCTCTATCCTTTTGCTGTAAATTGTTTTTTTGTCATCGTAGGTTAAATACCGTGAATAGATTTATATCAAGAGAGAATGAACTCATGCTCTCTTGTTTTGATTTGTATGAATTCAGTGAATTCGCTTAGATAATTAAACAAATAAAGGGGGTTCCTGCGTAGCATTTGTGTGCGTTAAAAGTGGGAAGGTGGTATAACTTAAACGCTGATAATTGTACATAAAACTCCGACGTTTCGGCAATGCTGCCTTCATCAAGGAAAATATACATATTTTCCCTGATGAAGGCAGCATTGCTGAAACGTCGGAGTTTTATTTGCAGTTACCAGCGTTTAACTTACCAGCTTCCCACGTTAAGATAATTTAACAGTCAGGGCTAATTATATACTGTTGATGTCATGTTGTTTTAAGACACAATAAAAGTGTATGAAAGGCGTCTCTTCCTTACGTTCGTACGTTCTCGGGCTTATAATGAGGGGTAGAACTTTAGACCCTCTGATCGATCCACCACACTTGAAACATAACTTTAAAATTTGTTATTATCATTCATTTTCTTGCAAAATAAGTGGCTTTGAAAAAAACGATCTTATAACGCAAGTGAGTTTTTTATATTCGTTGGTCCCACTTCCGTTTTTACCATTTTTCACCTCCTCAGTGTTTATTATGCCTAGCCTCCAATGCAGAGGTTCTAATAAGGCAAGGAAAGTGACACGGAAGGAGCCCTTAAGAAGAACGACTGTATGGGAGGCTTAGCATTCTAAGGTATCTACAAAACGTAATATTCAGCTTTTGTGCGTCCAGTTAAAAGCGGCTACTCCAGAATTGACTGTGTGCTTTATTACTTTTGTAATTGCTTCTGAAGTATATTAGTAGTATACACTTCATAATAGTTTGGGGCTGAAAATATAGAGGACAGACTTGTATTAGCGGAGCTCCACGCGCTAGCGGAGCCCCATGGCCCATAGCTAAGAAAATTTTGTTATCTGTCCAAGAAAAATCTTGGTAGTCACATGACCGGGCAACCAATGTGAAATCTCGCACTTTCCAGCTGGTGTGGGAGCCTGTAACCTGATATTGCACATCCATGTTGTGGTCAATTGACAGCTGTCAAAACAGGATATCCATTGACCAGAAACACATGACCGTATCGCGGACTAAGGTTTCGACACATCGGGTTTGTGTTTTTTTGAAGTCATCCGCTGACAAAATATTAGTTTTCAATTGATCGTAGGCTCAACTCCGACTGGTTTTCTTTGCAATGGTTTCAGGTTTAATGTTGGAAGTAAACTATACATTTGTTAACGAGAGCTTCGCCTTAAGCCATCCTTGATGGCTTAATCTATATATTAGTTTGTCCATTTTGCTAGTACGGGCTGAGAGAAGCAAAATAGCCCCCTAGGGAAAGTACGTAGGGAAAGTTCCCAGTACGTAGTCCTCCATTTCCACCGGTTTTCATACCAAGAGGAACCTGGAGACGAGCCTGAAAGCTAAACACGGACTTCCGGTAATTCTGGGAAAATTCACCGGTTCAGTCTCTCAAGGCAGCGATGGCGGAAAAAAATTTCGTATGGGAGTCCAAGAAAAATATGAATGTCAAATTACATCTTACATATGAAATTTTTAGAATTTTACCTGTATAATCACAATTCTTGTGAAATTTGACATTTATTTTCTTGGACTTCCATGAGAAATTTTCTTTGGTGTTACTACAGATGATTTATTACATCTTTAGCCTTTGAAAAATGTAAAAAAGAATGCAATATTCTTTAAATTATTCTGGTACAAGATTTTTGTCCACTGAAAATTAAAATTACTCAATTTCCTGATGGTTAATTTCCATCTTAATGTCTTCTGACCTGTCTCGAAGATTCAGTTTCGGTAGCGGCCGTGCTCTGCTAGTCTGCATGCGTTACTACCTTCTTTTACGTTATTTCGTTTCGAGAAATTAATATAGTCAATTTGCCGATTTTTCTCATACGGCTATTAGATTAAGCACACCCAAGAAGAAGCAACAACATACATAACACACAACGGCTATCGAACTTAGCTTTTTTCCATGGTCTAGGCCTTCTTCATTATCAACTTTGGATTGATATTTTTTCCATAGCGACCTGTCCGATTTGTCTTGAAACTATGTCAAATCCAAGAAGTCTAACGTGCAAGCACAGTTTTTGTCCAAAATGTATTCAAATTACTCTAAATGTATGCAACAGGTGCCCAGTATGTCAACAGCCACTAGGTTATATCATAGGAGACCAGCCTCGTGGACAGATGACTTTTTATCGTAACAGTGTTCCAGGCTACGAAGGTCAAGTAGCCCGGATATAAAAATCGTAAACATATATTCTAATGATTCCCATAAGAAAAAATCATGGTTCCCGTCGGCGCCCCCTTTTTTTTGTGTCGGTATTTATTACCAAACTAGAGTCCCCAGTCCTTTCTCTTACTCCACCCTTTTTCTGGATTTCTCGTATTTAAAATCAGTTCCCCTTACCCTATGGGTTGCGGAATTTGGACTAAAAACGCCGTATTTTAGCCCTGATCTGTTCTTATTATTCATTAAAATTTTCCTCGAAGCATATTATATTCTTAATGAGTAACTCTTTTAGATATGTTTTTGTATCAAGGTTGTTACTCAGTTTATCCTGACGATACAAAGTTTACTACTGTCAACATTTTATTGTCTGAGGTTATCAGTATAGTATGGTAATAAGAATAAAGGAATAACAAGGAACGGCTGGTATGGAGTTTTACCGCAGTGTCATTGTTTTAGAACATCAATATGGATTGACATGTCATGTTTAAACGCTCTATTAAATGTAACATTTGCAGGCTACGGGAAAATCGTGATCAGTTATCAGTTTCTGTCCGGAGTACAAGGCCCGGAACATCCAAACCCTGGTCAGCATTATCAAGGCACATCACGCACTGCTTATCTCCCAGACAATCATGAAGGACGAGAGGTGCTGCAGCTACTGAGGAGAACGTTTGATGCTCGACTGGTGTTTACAGTGGGTACCTCAAATATAACAGGGCTTTCAAATCAAGTGATATGGAATGATATTCATCACAAGACTAGTATATCTGGGGGTTCTTATGGGTAAGGAATTAGGTTCGTTTTTTTTACGCGCTTATTCAATCAAACAGACTGACATGAAAAAGCTTTCTTGGATGAGCCTTAAAATTGTAAAGGCTTGCATCTCGTCTTCCTCTAATCACTCGGAGTAGTACATGGCGATCTACTGCGAGATCAGAGAATCGCTCGTCAGGCGTTGTTGACCTAGAGCAGGTCTTGATTCATTTTATCAGTGAGAACGACGGCTCAGAAACTGCGCTTGTGATCGGTAGGGTGCAGGTTGTTTGGAAGCTCCCTATCTGTTGACTGCCAGAGTGTTTTCCATCTGCGTACCTCACTTCCGAGGGAATAGGCCATTTCCGAGTTCCCCTGGGCCTCTGTTTCAAAACGAGGGTAGGTGCTCAGCCTTTGATATGGAAATCATTTTTCATTCTCATGTAAATAAAACTCATTTTCACAAGAATGGTTGTCCACTTGGGCTCGTTTTGAAAGTGAGGGTTTTTGGGACTCGGAGGTGGCCTATTGAGAAATCGTCTTTCTTCCAGAATAGCATGCCTTCTACTTCATCATCCAGCTTCAGTGCCCTATTTACTATAATCGATGGCACGACACAAAGCAGATGGCGGGCGTGGCGATCTTCTTCAGAAAATCGATCTTGCATTTGGATGATTAAGGAGTCAAGACGAGGAATAGCTACAGTCTTCTTGTAATGATCGATTGAACTGGAACTTACATCATAACTTAAAATATTATTTTTGGTTTGAAAAAGAGATAGACATGGGTAGCCAGACAAGTTTGAAAACTTCCCAAAGGGGGGGTTGCAACCCCCTCAACCCTCCCCCTGGATTCGCCTCTGTTGTATCGGAGGTTATCAGTATAGTATGGTCACGTGATAAGAATAAAGGAATAACAAGGAACGGCTGGTATGAAGTTTTAACAAATGAAAGGGTAAAAAAAGTTGAGCTCCCACAGGCCGATTTGCCTGATACAGCGATATGACAGCAGTGTCATTGTTTTAGAACATCAATATGGATTGACATGTCATGTTTAAACGCTCTATTATTTGCAGGTTACGGGAAAATCGTCATCAGTTATAAGTTTCCGTCCGGAGTACAAGACTCGGAACATCCAAACCCTGGTCAGCGTTATCAAGGCACACCACGCACTGCTTATCTCCCAGCAAGAGAGAATGATGTAAGAGAGCGAAACCACAGGCGTCCCAAGCTCAGTGTGTGAGTTTAATCATCAACACATGTAGTTTCATATTGCGTAATTTAAAATGGCCGTGAATATAAAGGATTTGTACGGGAACTCAGGTAAAAGATTCAAATCGATAAATACTCGCTAGAATGTTCAATAAAATACAGCTTACCGTATTTACTTTGCTTGTTTTTGTTTGCTGTGTGGTTATTTTTCCGATCCATTTCGATTTAAGCGATTTCCTTTAACCCCGAGTTTTTGTTAAAGGAAATCGCTTACCGTATCTAGGCTAACAGCAGCATTAACAGCCTTCCATCCAACCTTTTTTACAAGCAGATGGTGGAAATAGTGGAAGCTTACAGCGGCCAAGGGAAAGAAGATTCGCCTCATTGTGGATTGTGCGACGAAAAGAAAGCTTTGAAATTTTATTGCTTTGAATGCAACAGCTTTTTATGCGATGACTGCGTGGGTGTCCATGAGAAGGGAAAAATTTTCAGTGGCCACCATGTAAAAGATATCGGTAATTTCCAGTCCTGCGATGTGCAAGATTATGCCCGCCGGGCAACCTATTGTACTGTACATATAGATGAAATGAGGTTTTACTGCGAAAATTGCAAAAGGTGCATTTGCCGTGACTGCGCCATTTTGGAACATCAAGATCACAACAAGATTTCGCTTGACCAAGGACTTGAAAACATTAAGTCTGAAATTGATATCAAAGTTCATGAAGCACAGAAAAACGGGTCTCGTTTGAGAAGTTACAAAGTCTCTCTGGAGAAAAGAAAAATGAAAGTAGACGGGAGTATCGAAGAAGCCACAAAAGAAGTGAAGCGAATCGCTGAACTCTGCATATTATCAATTCGCCAGCACGAAGCAAGTGTGACCGAACAATTAATAAAACAGAAACAAGCCTTTAAAAATGCATTTGACAATCAAATGACTATGTTGGACAGCAAACTGATGGAAATTGAGAGCACCTTAGCCTTTCCACAGGAGATTCTTCTTCGAAATAACTTACCGGAAATATTAAACGTCAAAGCAGTACTCGAAGAGAAGCTTAGAGAAGTCTCTGTTCGCTTGCAACCTTTGGAAGCTATGCCGAAGCTCGGTTACTCGGAGGTCAAGTACATTCAGAATGATGTCTTTCTAAAAGACGCACCGGGAAAGTTAGTCACAAGCGACACTGAGCCTTTATTATCAGTTGCAGGAGGCAAGAATCTCACAAAGGGGCTGGTAGGCGAGGATGGCACTTTTACGGTTACTACAAAGAATGCACAAGGTCAAACAAGTCACTGTGCGATAGATGAAGTCATTGCAAATATCAATTCATTGTCGGGGCACGAGACACTGCAGACGGTTGTGACAGACTGGAAGGACGGCCGTTATTCAGTCTCTTACAAGCCAAAAACGCCTGGAAAGTTCACTGTGTCAGTCGAAGTAGCAGGAAACCCGATCATCGGCAGTCCATTTACTTTAGAAGTGAAAAATCAACTAGACATCAGCAAGCAAGGTAAATTTCTTTACTTCAAAATTAATGTTATTCAATTAAAAATTGGAAAAAATAATTAAATTTGTTATGTTCAGGCGAGAGACAAGAAACTATATTCATTCTGTCCCAAGTAACTGTCCCAGTCGAGATATTTATTTACAGCACTTTGCATTTCTACATTTACTTCAATTATTACATCACTGCTGTGTTAGACTATTGACATTGTGCGAATATTCATGTCGTTGTGGGAGAACCTTTTCAAAACATAGGCTAGATAAACATTATGTAAAGGGCTGGGCTCAGCTTAGCGTGTCAACAGTGGACTAGTCGTATTAACGTTCATTTGTTGCTAATGCAGATACTATTTAGCTTAAGATACTCGAAGCTGTAGGGAAAGCGCAGAAGAAAGAACTTGAAGACATCGAGATTAAAGAGCACTTTGAAATACCCTAAAAAGCGGATGGAAAGAAACTTAGCCTAAAACCTAAAGATTCTTATACAACCGAGGATTACGAACAAGCTTGCAACTCATCTCTCTGTACTAAGATCTACTAAAACACGTACCAACAAGTAAAAATGCAGCGCTTTTCGCTCAAAACTGAGACAACTATAATAAGTGAAGGTAAAAAAATTAGTAAAATGAGTAAACATTTCCCAGTATCGGTAGAAATTGACAAGAATCAGAAAGAATCTTGGGGGCTTTATGGAGAGGCAAGCCACCTTGAAGAGGCTCTCGGATTCCTGGAAAAGGAAGGAGTTGAAATAAAGAGGGAAAGAGAAGACGAAAAAGGACGACGCAAAAAAGCAAAAGACCTTGAAGAGGATATGGAAGTCGACCCACCCGAGGCCTCCAGTGGTGATCCAGGCCATCGGCTAGAGGCCCTTAACTAGGTTGGTACGAAATTTATACAAGTGTGGCAATTTTTGTGCATGTGTAGGAAGAATGTCCCCCAAAACCCTAAGTAAGTACAAGTGGCTATGCTTTTTGTTGTCGCTTGACCGGGACTCGAACTATGAGGACTTAGCAGAAAAAAAGATGAAAAAATTTTAAAGGAAAATTTTTGAGGAATCGCTAAGGGACTTGTCAGAAATTAGCAGGGGGGGAGGGGGGTGGAAACAGAGAGAGGGTCACAACTTTTTGAGACTGCAGAAAACGGAGGGGTCATGAAAAATGGGCCTTGAAAAGGGGGAGGGTCATGCAAATATGTGTCCGTGATCATGTAGCCTGAGATCATGCCCTCTCCCTATTATCCCTTTATGTCTCTCACGGGAAGAGGGCATGATACATTTCTTTGTCGGATCACATGTAAAAAAGCCAGAATCTGGACTTTTTTCTGATTGGATAGGAAACAATACGAATGATTTGCGCTGTTCCGATTGGCCAAAATGCCGCCATCCGTTAGTTATTGCTGATTTCAGTCTGCATTTTTGCTTGCGTAATGAGCAGTGAATATACACGCGAGTTCGTTATGAAATTTCTGCCGGCTCAGTTTTCTTGAATTTGAAGAATGCCTAAATAGAAGTTTCATCCATTGAAATATTTTCCATCTCATCGTATACTAAAACAGTTGAAGTCAAAACTTCACCGATCATTTGAATGCAATTTGATACCGGCTACAAGTTACAGAAGCGACAAACAGGTTCACTTTCAAATAATCAATTCATGAATGGAATCTTGACCTGGTTTGACTGTAATTCCTCCTTCAGAAATCATGCTGCGAATTATTCTGAGCGATCTTCGCTTTCACAACGCCTTTCAGTTCGTGAAATATGGTGCTTCAGCCTAATTTTTTTTCACTGCTTTCGGCACAGAACGAAGTCAACGAGGTACGGCACCTCCAGCTAGCAGTATTTCATCACAAAAACAACACATTAAATTTTCTTTTTAGGAAGCGCCATCTGAACATGGACGTATTTAAAAATTTTCTTTTGCCTAAAATTGATTTCAAAAGAGACATTTGCGCCAAAATTTGATTCTTGATGGTAAACGCTTATTGGCTAATAACATGACAGGTCAAGCAGACGTTAGATTATGTAAATTAGGGGGCGGTTGACTGCTTGTTAAATAAATGTATCAGGCGTTATTTTTTTCCCTCTCGAGCCAAAGACGCAAAAAAATAAATAAATGAATAAATAACGCCTGATCTCAGGTTAGTGATCATGTAGAGGTTCACCCACAGAAGAAAGAAGAAGTTCTTTATTTTGTTAAAAAAAACCTAGGAGAAATAGTAGAGTCGAGTGATCAGCTGTCAGAATCAGAGTCGAACTCAGCTTAATGCCTTCATCTAAAATGTATGTATACGGCATTACAAAGAACAGATTAGAAATATATTTTGAGCTTTCACAATACTGACTCACCCTAGTGTATTGCAAGAACTAGATTTTATCATTTATACAAGAGGGGTAGGGTCATGATATTTTAGGCCAAGGTCAAAGGGAGGGTTAGAAAATTTCACTCCCATTGCAGGGATGGGTCATCTCATTTCCGAACCCAAATTTAAAATTCCCACCCCCCCTCCCCCTGCTAATTTCTGACCAGTCCCTAAGGTCTTATCATTAATTAGGTTTCTGACGTAACTGTAGGTTTTAGACATGAAAGGGTTAAGCTTTGAGGGCGAGACAGAGTCAATCCCCGTAACCACCCCTAGATCCGCCTCAGATTTGTAATCGTTCTATACTTAATAGGGCCGTTTATACGAGAGAAAATAAGCCGCGGCTTACTTTGGCCGTGGCTTACATAAGACGCGAACACCCCGTATAAATGGTACAAAATCTAAGTTCACGGCTTATTCAACCCACGGCCAGCTCAAGCCGCGCCTTATCTTGGCCGAGGGGCTTTGGGCTGGGCTTATCCAAGCCGTGGCTTACCTTGGACGAGAAAGTGTTAGTATAAATTCAACTCAAACGTTGTCCGCGGTTTGCTGAAGCCGTGAACGATTGCTGCACATGCTCTGTTTTCAATTATATCCCAGACCTTTTCGGCCGAGAGACGCGCACTGCAGTGGCGGGAAAATGATCTGCTGCACGAGAGGGCCCGTAAATTTCGTCTAAACTCTACCTCATCCATCGCTGGAATATCTCTTTAAAACCACTCGATTGATCTCTGACAAACATTTCGTCTAGGTTTCCGCACAAGATTCGCAATAGCCCAGCACTTATCTTGACCGAAATGTTAGTTTGAAACGAAAAAGACGGTAAAATATGTCAATTTTCCTGACCAAAGCCAATCGTTTCGCTTTTTTGCTCCCTCGAGTCATTGCTGCAAATTACTCGAGCCACCAAAACAAACTACGCCATGATTGGACCGGTCTGGCCGCGTGCTAAGCCGTGAACCATTTATATGAGTAGTTTGCGTCTTATGTAAGCCGTACTCGTATAAATGGTTCCCTTCGCGTCTTATGTAAGCCGCGGCTTATTTTCTCTGGAATAAAGGCCCTATTGTTTCACTATGGTAAATTATTTGTTTAAGTGAAGCCCGGGGGGGGGGGGGGTGGTGGGCGGCGTGCAAAGCCGGGAACCATTAATATGGGTATTTGGCGTCTAATGTAAGCCGTACTCGTATAAATTGTTCCCTTGGCTTCTTATGTAAGCCGCGGTTTATTTTCTCTGGAATAAAGGCCCTATTGTTTCAATATGGTAAATTATTTGTTAAAGTGAAGCCCGGGGGGGGTGGGGGGTACTCCCATACATTACCTATACGGGTATGTACCGCCCAACGGGGTCGTGGTTTTGAAGCTCCTGATTTAGAACGGGGTATCCATTTCAGAATTGTGGATTACGGCTTTATCTTCTGCTTAAAATTGTTGCTGATTATGAAGAAGCATTTATTTGATGTATAAGTCAAACAAATAAGGAAATATCTTTTTAAAAAAACAGAGCTATTTCAATTTACAAACTTTCTAGAACGGAGTATTAAAAATTGGCCCATTTCTAGAACGGGAAGTGAAGTAACTTATTTTGTTCTGGTTTCTCGTCATTCAAACCTGACCGTTTTTCTTATGCGACGCGCTTAACCGCCATGATTAATGTCAAAGATACTTTAGAGCGGAGAAGAGAGAGATATTTCTTTAATTTTCACATATATAGATATTTAAAAAATAGGTTTAAAATACAACTGAATTTTGCCAATCAAATTGCTGAAATTTCTCAGGTTACAACATATAGTTGCAGTGCCAGAATTTTTAAAATATTTGTTACATTTACGATTGTCTTAATTCATTTTTGCATGTTTAACCCTTTTTTGTTATGGTTAACATAGTGCTTGAGTTTCTGACGGTTTATGTCGGTGTCTTTATATTTATCTGATATTCAAGGTGGAAGGATAAAATTGTCTGTTTACAAGGACGACATAACCAAGCAGAGAGTTGATGTCGTCGTGAATGCCGCAGATAGGGAACTTCAACACGATGGAGGAGTAGCCGCCGCCATTTTGGCCAAGGGAGGAAGAACAATCAATGAGGAGTCACAGGCGATTATAAAGACTCGTGGTTTTCTTAAGGATGGCGAAGCAGTCGTCACCAATTCTGGGAAACTGCCTTGTAAAGCAGTTGTTCATGCTGTTGGACCGAGGTGGAATGACGTTGACGCTAAGAAAAGTAAGAAGATTCTCGGTCGGGCTTGTCTAAACATTTTTGCTGAAACAGAGAAACTGAACTTGACTTCAATTGCATTACCGGCTATTGGTACTGGCATTCATAGGATGCCAAAGGATGTCTGCGCCGAAGTCATGTTCGATGCTTTGGACGAGTTTGTGAGGCAAGATGACGCAAAAAACAAGAATATCACTGATATAAGGTTCGTAAATATAGGTGACCCTTTGGTACAGGCTTTCAGTAAAGAGTTTAAGAAAAGATATGGCGATGACCCTGAAAGTTACAGTCGTGAGAAGGAAACCGGAGGAAGTACCTCTGGCCGCTCTTCCTCTACCGCCGGAGCCGTAGGCGGTCGTTCCATAGTGTCATCCTCAAGATTTAATCGAGGTAGAGACCAAAGCAGGGCGGACAATCACCACACTGCACTGAACCCGAACGACGCAAGCATTGGCCGTTATGATCAGAGATCTTTTAGCACTTCAGCTGTTAGTAGCCACGATCCCTTGACGAATCATTCTGATCATCTTTCAAACCCATACAGTAAAGTGGTGAAAAGAAGTATACGCGGTCATGAAATGATGCTGCCACAAGATCAACAGCGTCAAGGACACGAAGAAAAGAAAGGAGGCCATGGCGTCCATGATGAAAAACAAGAGAAAGGTAAGTGATATAAGAGCCATGATTTGATGCAGGGGGTATTAGAAATTTCTGTTGTGCGGATTTCCCATTTTTGGCATCGGTTTTCACATAAACTACATATTTTTTCGGGTTTGTGTCTTCTGCACTAATTATTTTACTCCTTTCAGTAACTTCTGATGAATTTTTCTATGTGAAGCTAGATGCTACAGTCAGTTTATATTTACTTAAAATAAGTTTTTTTTTCTCAATATTTGTCATTATAAACAAAAAACGTCCTCATCTTAGAAAACATTTTAATTTTAATCTTTTCAATTGCTTTTGCGACCGACCTTGAGTCCACCGATCTTTCGTATAAAAGCAATGGCTCTGAATTCTTGAGCAACCAAGAGCCAGTTCGTTATGGAGTGATTTTATTTAACCCGTGAAACAGGATACAACATTAGTGCCCAATAGTTACAACTGAATGTATAAAAGAAAGCAAGGAAATTAGAGTGGAATATTGCGTATTAGTCTACTATCTATTTCATCGATATTTCACGAGATAAGTAAAATCACTCTTCACTATATTCATGTATATTAATTTAATTTCAGTAATAATATAGGAAGCGCACCTAAGCACTCAAATGTAAAACGAATGAAACAGGAGGGGGACATGGGGGTTTACGGTATTGCTGTATTAAGATTTTTTTCAAGCGGTATTTCGGTCATTTTGATTTTTACTGATTGTGCGGTATTGCGGTATCATCCAGCCCTACGGTATGCGGCTTTTCATCCTTCTGGCTAACGGTATTCGGTAAAAGAAGATCCTCACGGTATTGCTGTACCGTTCATTTGGCCTCTCCTTTCTAATGTAGATCAATATTTGGAAGACTTTAGACTTAACGGTAAATGAATACACAATTTCTGACAGTTAATCTATGATGAAACTGGTAGGACATCCAATGACCAGGCTTTTCGATCGTTGCACCGATCAATTCAAGATCTACTCTCGTTTTCTCGCGAAGGCTGCGGTTGATTTCTGGTGTATACATGCTTGAGATAAAAGCGCGCGAGATGGATACAACATGAATTAAGTAAGCGTGACTGATCATAAATGCGGTAGCAGTATTTCGTCGATTTTCGACACGGTATTTCGGTATTTGCCAATTTTTCTTCCGGCATTGCGGTATTGGGTACCCTGCAATGTCCCCCTCAAACAGACAATGACTAGTAGTCTGTGATATTACTAAACATCTGAATCTACCAGCTTCAGAAAAGCAAGTTGCTTTTTTTATACCACTGACTTAGCTACTTTCTTGATTTTTCATTTTCATGAACAGAGGACTGTCCTATTTGTCTTGATCGTATATCAAGTCCAAGAAGTTTGAAGTGTAAGCACAGGTTTTGTTCAGATTGTATTCAAACTGCTTTAAATGTTTGCAACAAGTGCCCTGTATGTCAACAGCCTCAAGGGATTATTATAGAAAACCAGCCTCATGGAGAGATGACTTTTTACACTGATCTTTACGCGGGCGTTCCAGGCTATAAAGGTAAAATGACGCATGCGAACCTCATGCACACTAATAATAACAATAATGCACACTAACAATAACAATAATACTAATAATAACAATAGTAAAACTTCAATGGCTGTCACAATTACTGATAGACCCAGAAGTTTACATTGTGGGCCCAAAAAGACTTCAAGACTATTTACAAATAATTTTAAAATGTAAATGATATAGTAAAAAGAAGTTAAAAGATAAAAGATAATATATTCCACAGCGAGAAAAACCGGCCTATAAAACGCGCTTCTGACATTTTAAATAAGCACCTGTTTGGTTGAAACAAATCAGCTGATAGGTAGCATAAGCGCATGTTTCACAAAAATTTGTATTTGACGTATAATTAGTCAACACATATAATTTAACTTGGTCAATTGCAGGCTACGGAACAATAGTAATCAATTATCAGTTTCCTTCCGGAGTACAAGGCCCGGAACATCCAAATCCTGGTCAGCGTTATCAAGGAACGTCACGAACTGCTTATCTCACAGACAATCATGAAGGACGAGAGGTGCTGCAGCTTCTGAGGCGAGCGTTTGATGCTCGACTGGTGTTTACAGTGGGTACCTCAACTACAACAGGGCTTTCAAATCAAGTGATATGGAATGATATTCATCACAAGACCAACATATATGGAGGTCCTTATGGGTAAGGAGTACCTTTACTTTAGTAACAAAAATACTTTCCTGATACGCCTACTGTTTCTAAGCGTGACAGGCTTGCCGGGCATGTTAATGTTTTACTTGTAAATGTACTTCGGCAAAACTGTGTGACGTAATACGTTTGCTACAGCGGTAGGCCTTGAAGGATGAATCTAGCGATTACAGAATCGGGCATTGATGCATAATTTGCGTTTGTAGCAATCGTTCAAAAATTGCTTCGTTTTAAGTTACCCTTCCATTTATCTGTCATTCCATTAATCCATAAACATCGTCTATAGGGATTTTCCCTTGGAATCTACCCCTCCCATGCAGATCTCAAGGATAAAGACCTGCGCACGAGATTGTCAATCCACCCGACCCGTTCATCTATCCATTCCTCACTCCATCCCTTCCTCTGTCCCTTTCTCTATCCTTCCCTTCATCCCTCCCTCCATCCTTCCCTTTCTCCCTTTATTCCCTACATCCCTTCCTCTTTCCCTCGATCCCCCCTTGTTCGTTCATCGAACCAGGTATCCTGCGTTCCAAATAATCGCCCGTTTATGCATCCTCTACTAGTTACCTCATCTAAACTTAAGTAGCCCCCTTTACCCATTGACGGGATTTTTGTATTTTTTAAAGGTTTGGATATCCCGACCCTGACTATCTTCGGAGAGTCAAAGAAGAGTTGGCTGCTAAAGGAATCCGATGAATAGTTAGTTGTAATAACAATATGTGCTCTGAAGCCTCCGCTTCTACTTTTAAATTAATAGCTTTTTTCAGAGTTTTGGACATTGTCGAACATTGGAGGAGGGGAGTTGGAAGGTTTATTTTCAAGCAAACAGCTTGTCCTCGTGCATATGATCATTCCAAAATGATTATGACGTTAACAAGGTCAAGCTTTAGTGCAATTAAATTGAATGATTAATTTTCGAAGAAGCATACGACAGAAAATGTAGCGGTTAGACAGTGAGTGGGTGAGAGGTCATAATTGGTACTTTCAGTGTTGCTTTTTTTTAAATAAAGAGATTAACAAAAAGATGGAAAATAGGTACCGAGTTAAATGGTTTTTAATTTGCGTAGTTTGAGACAGTTTCTTTTTTGTTAATTATCGCTGTTGATAGAAACTGGCCCCAGTTCATAACCTACTGCAAGTCAACAATACAGAAAAATAGAAATGGCATGCTTTCCCCTTTTCAGTGCGCATAATTAATTAATAAGTTGAAGTATATAAGTTTGTCATGGCGTAATTTAGTGCTGTCACTTTAACAATTAAAAGGTGTTCATTGTATACCACTTCTTAACTAAACCGAGAGTGAGGTCATTACAGTGGAACCTCGATATAACGAAGTCCTCGGTATAACGAACCATATTCTTCTCCCCAGTAATAATAAAATATATGGAAAAGAACCTCGATATAACAAAACCTCGTTATAGCGAGCGGTCTTAGGAAAACTGACAAGTTAAATAAGAGAAAACTGCTTCTGAACAAAAAAAATAGGCACCTGAATTAAAATTTTGCGCACCCTGCATGGCTAGCGATTATCGGCCGTCAAATAACTGGTCCCAGGTCACAGTTGCAAGCCGCTCGTAGCTAAATAATAAGCTACCTGAAAATGGCATGACCTTGACTTGTTTTTGCATAACCAATCATGAATAGCAATAAAGAATCCGTGATTTTTTTCGCTAGGTAACAACTGTTCATCATAAATTAAATTTACTTTAGATAGTTTAATTTTTTTTAAAGATAAATCGGAAAAGGTTGCGTATAGCTTATTCCCTGTTTATGTCATGGTATTTAAACAAACAATAAAAGTAGATATGTGTGCTAGATAAAAGGCTTCCTTTCTTGAGGATGGATTTCCACTGTCGCGTTAGCTTCTACCTGGCTCTAGGTCAGTGCAGACGTAGTCGCGCAAAAAAGCGAGCCAGCCAGCGAAAAACGGCGGGAAGAGAGAAAGAGAGAACCTGCAAGTATCTTTACAAACACATCAATCCACCCACGAGAAAAAACCGTTTCTCGTGTCAAAGTGTTTAACAAAGGTTAAAATGTCAAAATGTCCCGTGGAGGGTTTCACTCGCTCGACGTTGACATTCTCGTTGCCGTCGGGTCGCTGAATCTTCAAGTCCCTGTTGACGTCGTTGACGTAAACTGTCAAAATTGACCAATTATAGGGTCTATCAGGAGCTGGTATTCTGGAATGAGGCATTGGAAACAATGCTTAAAGGCTCCACTTATCTGTCCGTGCTCAGCTTCCCCGCGGTTTTCGCGCAACTTTTTTGGATGCGCTTTTCTGGGACAAGCTAAGGTCGAGTAGTTTTCACGTGCCTACGCACGTAAATTTTTCGCGCGTAAATAAAATAGAGGCAATGTGTGAAAGATCGCGGGTAAACGTTAAAGTTGAGCGAGGCTCAACTTTTACGTTTACGCGTGACCTTCCATACATCGCCTCTGTTTTATTTACGCGTACGCACGGAAATTACGCGGCAGTGGAAATCAATCTTTACGTTCGTGCGTCTTTAATGCGTTCTTGCACCTTGTAGGGGAACTCTAGAGCATGCATCTGCTGATCCATCCACCACAATTAGAAAAAAAAAATTCCGAAAATAAGCCCCGGGGCTTATATTTCTCAAAGGCCCTTTTTGAGGGGCTTATTTTTGGAAGGGCTTACATTCCGAGGGGCTTATCTACGGAGGGAAATTTACGTTTTAAAATCGGTTGGGCTAGCCTTATAGTTGAAAGTAAATTTACCGTTTTTGCTTTGATTTACTTTGTATTTGAGGGCAATTTTTCAAGTACAAGCCCCCGGGGGGCTTATATTTGGTGGGGCGATTTAACGGAGAGTATTTTGCGTTACCAGTTTGGGGGACTTATATTTGGAGGGGCTTATACATGGAGGGGTTTATTTTCGGAATTTTACGGTAACTTATTTGACGTTCCCATTCATTTTCTTACTTAGTGACTTTGAAGTAAGAAAATTGAAATACGAGCAAAAAATGGAGGTGCAGATGCTTGGAGAGAAGTCTTATTACTGACTTTCTCCCTCTCGTGAGTATTTGATATTCGTTAATGGTTCCGCCCTTAGAACGTGCGCGTGTGTGAGAGGCTATAGAATGCCAGACTACAACCCCGGACAAAACCTGTTGACACAAATCGCGAAAATGCCTTTTTTTTTACAATCGTCCTGGCAAAAACTGAAACCTCCGCCAAATGAATCCCCAATTCCCCCCCTCCCCCCCCCCACCCCCACGTTTTAGGCTCACGCGCACTACACACCAATTCTTATTAAAAGCAAAAACCACTTATGAACAATGTACGCGACGAGGTTTGCTATGTTGTTCTTTTCTTCTTTTTTTTTAAAGACCCCCGCCCCCCCCAAACCTCCCCCCTTTCCCCCCCCCCCCCCTTTCCCGACTAACCCCCCCGGCAAAAACCGAAACCCCCCCCAAAATAAACCCCCATTCCCCCCCCCCCCCCTTATCCAAAGTTGTTTAGGTTAGCATGGCAATTATACACGTTTGTTTGTAGACCAAGACAGCTTTGAATAGAGGGCCCTGGGAAGGGGGCTTACTTTTTCTGTTTAGAGGAGACAGGAAAAGGGCGCAACCGTTAGAAAATAGATGGAATTTTCTCAACAGTTTTGTGCGGGGTTGTAGCTACAAAACCAAATAACCGTGTGACCATTTTAAAACAGCGACTTCAGAATTCATTGTGTGCTTAGTTTCTTTTGCAATCCCTTTAGACCGCCTACACTGGTGTAAGCCGGAAATGAAGAAGACAGACTTTTATTATTTTTGTCCTTTCTCTAGTGCAGGCTGTCGAGACGCATAATAGTCCCTGCATGATTGAAAATAAACTTGACGTCTTTGTAGAATTCTCATGTTTACTGTATGTTGCACACCGGTACGGTACACCTAGCAATATTAAGTAATTGCATACTGAGAGAAACCTGGGGACGAGCTGGAAAGTTACACAGGCATAACTTCCGCTTATATTCTGGGAAAGATCATTGTGTTTTTGTCTTCGCTTTGCACCGGTTTTTACCAGGCGATTGCAACGATGGCGCAAGGTAAGATATTTTCTTAATGTGTTATAAGGAAATGCTTGGAGGAGTATGACAAAGTTAACAGCCGCAAATGCTGAAAATGTTCCCTTATCTTGTAAAACATTTTTTGAATTATTTAAACTGAGGCCGAATGAAGATTACATTATAATAATTTTTTTTGTTCATTTGATTTATTGCTTTCGATTTTATATACCTACATGTACTTTTACTTTTTTATCCATATTACACATACTAATAATAGGTTTGATATTCTTGATTTAGACTGCAAAACAGTCCGTTTTTTCCCTCAAAATCGGTTTAGAGTCTCGCGCGCGAGCTTGTGTGACTGTTTGCGCGTACTTGAATACCCCAAAATACGGACTGTTTTGCAGTCTAGTTTTGATTAGTAGAGCTACTCCGTCATCAATAAACCGTTATTATTATTATTATTATTAAAAAGAACGCCTGTCTCAGTAGAAGTTTCGGTTTTAGTGTTAGTTATGCAGCCCTTCTGGTTGTCTTCACGCCTTACTACCTTGGCGGGGGTATTTTGCAGAACGCCGAATGACTCTGAAGTTTTGTGATTAGAATTAGGGAACTGATCGGTGAGTGAATCAGGTTCCATTTAGGGTCATTATACTGGGCAAACTGACCTGAAACTTGATTCACTAACTTTCCTAATCCTAATCCCTACACTTCAGAGCCATTCGGCGTTCGGCGGCCGTTCGGCTTGGAAGTACCTATTAAATAATTATCAAACCCGCTAGGAGTTGTTCGTTTCATATCAGTGAAAGTGACAAATTAAATGGACTTCTTTTCGGGAAATACAGCCAGTTACGAAGTGCTTTATTTATTTTTTGGAACCTAAGTAGAGGAAAGAATACCAGAATCGGCTATAACCTAACTTTATATCATCGTCTACCTTCATATCAGCCGTTGTATTATATTTTTCCATAGAGAGCCATTGTCCTATTTGTCTTGATCCTATGTCAAGTCCAAGAAGTTTAAAGTGCAAGCACCGTTTTTGTCCAGAATGTATTCAAACTGCTTTAAATGTGTGCAACAGGTGTCCGGTATGTCAACAGCCTCAAGGTCGTATCATAGGAAACCAGCCCCGTGGACAGATGAGCTTCTATACTGATCGTTACAGCGTTCCAGGCTTCGAAGGTAAAACTCTTTTTGAATTTAAACAATAAATTTGCATAGCTGCTAGCTGTCACGTGAGTGAAAACTCTCTAAAGAGCGATTGTACTCACCTAAGACCCACGTAGTTAGCGTCCTTGCAAATTTCTTTGAACCAGTTAAGGCACGTTTTTACATAAGAAAAAGGTTAAACTCACAACACCAATGCGGCCCCCTCACGTCATGTAAATCAATGCTCTGTTTAATGTAACGTTTGCAGGCTACGGGACAATAGTAATCAGTTATCAGTTTCCGTCTGGAGTACAAGGCTCGGAACATCCAAATCCTGGTCAGCATTATCAAGGCACATCACGCATTGCTTATCTTCCGGACAATCGTGAAGGACGAGAGGTGCTGCAGCTTCTGAGGCGAGCGTTTGATGCTCGACTGGTGTTTACAGTGGGTACCTCAAATACAACAGGGCTTTCAAATCAAGTCATATGGAATGATATTCATCACAAGACTAGCATATCTGGCGGTCCTTTTGGGTAAGGAGTTAGGTTCGCCTGACTAAGTGCCATCCATCATCCATACCATTGCAATTACATAGTATGCATACATATGATCTCAAGTTTTAATTAGCCGCCCCATCGATGGTCTAAAGCGCGCTTTTTATAACAATATTGTAATTTATCTACCTCTTGTTATTTGCGAAAGCTGCGATTGATGTTAAGTAACTGAAAATATGAGGTTAACTAAGTCTTAAGCTGATTATAAAATCGCAAAGTCAGTAGAAGAATTATTCAAGAAAATAATGCTCACTTAAAATTGGAATGAAGATTTTGAATTTGATACACAGTTCATGCAGTAATACAACTTTGAATAATCCATTCATCTATTCTTGCTTCCTGTCCTCTTTTTGTGTATTTGTTGTATGTTATTTATAGGAATTAAGAAAAGACAAAGGTCCATTTAAATTTAAAGCCAATTGGCCGGGCTGAAGCATCATTTAACTTCGTGGTTGATTCATACTTGATTCAGCATTTTTTATTGTACAATCAAAGACGAATATAGCCACTCGTCGTACCTAGTTTTAACAAGAAAAAACCCTTCGAGAAAAGCATCGGTAAGATTTAGAATAAGTAGTCACCAACTTAGAATTGAAACAGGTAGATACGAAAAAATCTCTCGCGATATGTTACTTTTGTACAGGTAACAAAATTGAAGATGAAATCATTAACATGATTTTTGTCTTTGTTTAAGGTTTGGATATCCCCGATTCAGACTACCTGAGGAGGGTCAAAGAAGAGTTGGCTGCTAAAGGAATCCGATGAATGATCCTGAGATAAGGCTTCATTTATTGTTAACACTGATGATACCCAGTGTTCGATCAATTTAGCGTTCTTGTGGTATTTTCAGGCGACTGCATTTCAAGCTAGGGAACATTTTGAAAATACATGTGTAAAAAAATAGGTAACATGAATTGTGGCAATTAGTTACCCTTGAAGAATTGGCCACGGGTGCAATAAAAACCTCTAGTAGCCTCATACAAAATTTTCTGGTGTTGCTAGGGTTAGGTTATATTCAATCAACCTCAAGGCCGATTTGTTACTAGATCTTACCAAGGAAAATGAAGATGCATGTATATGGTGAAACGGAGCAAAATATCCTAAACATCCCACGACAAATTAAAAAACTTCCAAGTGTCTTAACCTCCACTTGTGTCAAAAGAAAACCACTTAACTCAATGCAAAGTGTATCTGTTGAGCCAGTACATCTCGTCTAAGTGACCGTTTAATAATTATAGAGGTGAAAACAATGAAAAATAACGCGTTGAAAACCGCATGTCAATTTTACAGTAATAAAAAGAAGTTATCTTCGGGTCGTTGTTAAAGTGCGATCAGGCGTTTTTATTTATTTATTTATTTTTTTCAAGGGCGGATAATAGGGAGAGGGCATGATCTCAGGCTAGGTCGTTGTAAGCACAGGTTGCCCAGGCTCTGTGGGAGTTCCTTAGATTTTGAATTTATATATAAGAGAACGTATGAAAATAAACAAAATACGTCCTAAATTCAATTTTTTGACCAAAAAAATAGAAAACCAAATGACTCACCTTGTGTTCTTGTTTCCAGTATTTACAGTTTCTTTGCTCCTAGAGCCATTTGGAAGCCGTTTAATCTACTTTTCAGTACTCAAAATCGTAAACGTTTCATTTCTATTTTTTGTCACAAAATAGAATTTAGGACGTATTTTTTTTCATACATTCTCTTAGTAATTCAAAGTCTACTAGATGAGCAGTTCGTGACGAACTCCCACAGGGCCTGGGCCACCTGTGTTGTAGGCAGCTGCTGATAGACAGTGACTGTATTTGTTTCTTTAAAGTGCTACTACGATCAAATCTTTGACTACCATTTTTTTTCGCTAGATTGGCAGTTTAGTACTTGAAGAACATGGTGTGCAAATTATAGCTTCCTGCGATTAAGGAAAGTGGTATTTTTTGGCGCTCAAAAACCATTAATTTTCGTCCGCCATTAAAACGCTATGTTCCTGTGGCCTGGTTACCAAGAACACAAGGCAATTGCTTTGTGACGTCATTTACTTAACGCAGTACACACAGCATGACAATTTTCTTCCAAGAACTTTGCTCAACAATGTTCTCTTTCCTCCCACTTCGATGCGTTCTTGTTTAGGAAGACTCTTTCGATCTTACTACATTAGGCTCCGTATGTGTGCAGCAACCGCTTCAATCGATAGAATTGTGCTGCACGCGAGTCTGACCAACTGAATGTGAGATTCGAGGAATAGGTTTGTTTCCAGCTGACAGTTTCGCTGTTTTCTCGGTTTGATAACTTCGAAGAGTGCTGCAATAGCATTTACGGGGCTTTCAACGCAAACCAGTAGCGGAAAATTAAACTTGGATCATTTGCTAGCATATGGAAGAAAGATCAATCGACAGATCTTGAATCCGGAAAGAAATCTTCGCATAAAGAGGGAGCGCATGGAGGTAAGCTTACAGTTCGCAAAACTTGCTAAGTTTATTTATATCGCCGGTGGTGATTTTTGCTTTTACTACTGGCGAAGTCATCGAAGATAAATTTTTTCTTAGACCTTTCTTCGACTGGAACGCGACGACTACGAAACTTTTAGGAAACTTTCAAAAAGATTTGCCCTAAGGCAACAGATCACAGAGAGCCCTCTAGTTTTGTAAACACTATTATTGCTCACACCTTGCTCTTGTAGTGTACTATTTTTTCTGTTACCACTATTAACATTCCTTTGAGCTTTTATAAAAAGCTTTAAAGCTCTATTTGTAAATTTTTATTATAAAATATAAAAATCTATCAGGATCATGGTGCAAGCTGAATGGTATGATATTTTAATATACAGTAAATTCCTTAGTATTTCCAACATTCTGGTCGCCATAACCCTCACTAAACAAAAGGTATGCTTTTTTCAATTTTAGTCTTCCCAAAACTCAGAACCTGATTAAAACTGCACAGACACATTATCAGTTCAAACCACAAGCTAAAGCAAGAGAGCCCACACAAGTTTATTGCAAAAACTGTTTTTGCAATTTTGTAAAATACAGCAAGAATTATTACCATTTACTGATGTGGTCTTTAAAATAAAATTGTGATCCTATCTTGAATGTTGTGTATTGTTATTCTTTTGAGTGAATAACGAAAAGTTTTGCAATCTCGCATTCAATACTTATAATAATTATAATTATAGTATATCATAATTTGAGATGTAAACTCCAACTCAGGGGCACTCATTTACTGAATCACTGAAGTGATGTGACTGACAGATTGCAAGTTAAAAATGAATAATCACCAAGGCTTGGTCACTGAAAAATTTACTGCAACTGAGGGTTATGTACATGTACGAGATAGTTTCATGGCCCCTGCTCATCACTGCTGCTTTGTGTTTGACTACTCAAGGTTGTGCTCTACCAGCACCCAGTTGGCCCGTGGTGCTTAACTATTGTTCCGGGGCAACTAGGAAATTTTTTAATAGAAATCATGTGCTCGGCACCCAGGATTTCACGGGTCCGGAGCACTGGGCTCCTTTCAATTTTTCTTAGAGCACAGCCTTGCTACTTCAAAAACCTTGGTGTATCTTTTAATATGGGACAGACTAATGTTATTCCTATAAATGAGGAAGCTTCATGGCCCCATACCACATACAAAGGCACTGTCCACCCTACTGATCTGCACACTTGTTGATCACAAGATAAATGTGAGGCCCCAGCTAAGAACCTGGAGTACAAGTTTAGGTCTTATGTACTGTGTGCAATATACAAATCCATTATTTTTTTGTCATACCAGTGATTACAATAAACAAGCCAAGGGCTGTAATACTGCTTAAAGGCTGCAAGTTTATTGTTCTTTGTTGCCTGATTTAGCATAGTCTATTTTGGGGGTATTATATAGCCTAAGCCAAGCTAGGGCAGGGCCCATGCAGGGTAAAGGGGCTTCCCCACTTTTTGAAAAATAAATAAATAAAATTAAGTACTGTGGAACCTTGATATGACGAAGGGCCAAGGGACTGGCAAAATATGTTTATTCTAACGAGGTTTATTAACTTTTATCGAGGTTCTTTTTCATATTGCCTTATATTTTACTATTACTGGATTAAAAAAAAATAGTTTGTTAGACCGAGGACTTTGTTATAGAGGTTCCATTGTAATATACATTTTCATATGAATGGTATCTTTGTTGGAATAAGAATCTTCCAGCATCTAAATTTATTATTGGTCTGTTTTGATCCCATCAGTCTGATGCGTGGTAAGCCTTAAAAAGTCAATCGTTCTAGATTTCTGCATTTTCAAACCAGCAAAGCTATGTTGCATTTGCAACAATGCAGAATAGTCTTTTTTGATGAAGGTTCTTGATTAAATCTGAAGACTACTCCATGAACTACGGTTTCTTAAAACGAATTATATCAGCTGATGATGTGGTCTCTGGCACATTTTAATGACATGCTAGACAAATTGAAGGCATTACAGGAACCTACAGTGTAATATCATGATCTGCAAACTTCTAGTGGTGGATTCAGCATGTGCAATCATGCTCAGCAAGAGAAAGGTTCTTTTCAGCGGCTTGAAATTTATGAACATGACTCTGCTCAACAAAATGACTCAAGAAAGGTTCAGTAATCTAACAGTTCTAAACAGCCACAAAGAGATAACAGCCAAATTTGCTCTCCCCCGTCCCCCCCCCCTCACCTCAATGTAGGTGGTCACCGGCCCGCGCACATGAAAAACTGCTTCCCAGGCCCTCTTAGGGGTTTTAACTCTTAAAAATGCTAGTTTCTAATAATATTTTACAATGGAAAAAACCAGCAAGAAAAACCCACAGAGCACAATCAAGGATGGGCCTCCATGATAAACATAATTTCCACTGTGTAACACTTCTTCCTAGAGGCAGTGAATTTATGGCAGACTGTGTTAGCAGCAGAATCGTGCAACCTAGTGATGTACTGAACCATTTAGTTTTTCAATACATAAAGTTAGTTGCAAATAATAATTTATTAATGCAGTGATAACCCAGTACTCTATGATCTACAGACACCCACTTAATTGGACACCCATATATAACAGGCAGTTTTGTTTGTCCTGAGGAAAAGCATACATTTTTTCTTTAAAATTAACCGGCTTAGTACGCACAGTAGTTAATGTGGACAACAACCACTTTTCTGTGTTTCAAGTCAGAAATTCCTATTTATTCTTAATCCAGCTTTACAGACACTGGTTACCCAGGCACTTTCTATTTTTCTTGTCACAATGATGTGCCAATTGTAGACATTGTACCAAGTTCACGGGTTAATAAGATTTTATTACCAAAACATCTGTAGCCAAATAGCATGACAAATTTGATTTTGATACATCTTTCTTTCTTCCCCTGTTTGTAGTCCTTTGATAAATTTTCTGCCTCCTACTCAACAAGTTTCACGTCCTTGGCTTTTTGCTACAGCCATTGTTCCTACCCTTTCTCCTCCTTGTTCCTTTATTATATATATCAAATAAATCACGTGTCTGTGACTTTTTTTCAGAGAGCTAACTTAATATGGACACCCAGATAATACGGACACCCATATAATATAGACATCATAACATGTCTGTGTTAACGGTTCCACTGTATATATTTTCTTGTCTAGCCAAAGCTTCAAAGCTGGTCCCAGTAAAGAGAGCATCCAAAAAATGGACACCTGGGTTTGAAAAATAAATAAATTAAAAAAGAAAACGTCACATATAACAATTTCATAAAGTTATCTATAAAAGTTATGGGAATACAAGGGGATATCATTGACAATAGTTGGATGAGGTGAAATCTCTGAATTTTTATTAGCGTTGCAATTTATAAGTTGCTATAATGATCTGCAGTCAATCGATAGGGAAGGCATAGGCAGACACAGCCTTTTCAAAAAAACATGAGCTACAAAGAATGTGACAGTCTTTAATGTCAGCACTGAAAATTATTAAATTGATATACCAAATCAAGAGCAAGCGATCCCTTATTTATCTATTTATATTGAAAATGAGTAAATTAACTTTTCTGACAAAGAGAACTTAACATTAGATTTAATTTTAAAATCCTCCGCTCAGATACGTAACACTAAAGTAACAATTAAATTTTCAATAATAAAGGACAGCAGTCCGTTTAAGATGGTAAAAAAAACACATGCATATGACAACGAGCTGGCTGCTTTAGAACTGAAAGTTAGCTGAACTGAAAACTGTACCCACTCTGATTCGCTGTGCCTGAAGAGCTATAAAGCAAAACTTTATCTACACTTGGATAAATGAGCACTCGAAAGTGGCTAGAAGGCAGGTGAAATTGGTGCGGACTCTCGATCGTCTTGCCTGTGTATTAATAGGGAGTTTAAGATACGGAGACTACGGACTACGAAATACGGCTGGACTAGCGTTGTCCTTTGTTCGTAGCACTGGGTTGAGTCGTGCAAATATAGAACGTTAAGATTGCACTCAACAGACAGTAGACTACGAGAGAAGAGGCGGAGTGGGAAACAACACGCAAAGATTTTCTTGTTTTCATCACAGTTCACAAAAATGCAAGTCACTTTTGCATGTGATCTTATCTTTAGAACAATGAACAAATTCTTCCATACTTGAAGGAAGCAATTACACGTAATTACTTCGGGTGAAATTGGTGAACAAAGTTTTGGTTACAGAGGTTTAATTTTTTTCGCCCATGAATACTTATGTCAAATATTAAAGAAATAGACAGAAATAGTAATAGCTCATTTATTAGATTTAGAAGGTGGATTTCTCCGACTACTGATTTGATGTAGTTTGAAGTATTGAAATGCCAAGTTTCGATTGTCTCGAAGATGTTTACATCATTTTCATTCAGCAAATGCGATACAAAAACTCGCATAAACAAAGGTTACACAAGTAGAAAGACACACTAATCAGTTCGAACAAACATTGAAACTTTTCAAGTGCGAAGAGAAAGTAAATTACCTGCATGATTTCTCTTCTCCTCGGCCGTCAATCTGAAGCTTATTTAAATATGAGCTTAGCTAGATAAAAATGTAGTCACAACAGTGGATTAAAAGCGTAAATCTGAGCAGAAATTAGACACAACTTACATATTTCGCTTCCCTCTCACTTAAAGCAGGTGAATTGAAAACTTTTTTACGAAAAGACTGGATTCTTGAATTACCGAGACGGCAAAATACGAGCAAAATGTTCTCCGTAGTCCCGACTACGCGAAACAGCTCAACAACTCACCGTAGCCGCAGGGCTACGCGGGAAAAATGAACAGTCACGTGGTTTTGATCATGCGCAGTAGCATGTTTATCCGTAGCCGTAGTCCGTAGTCGCCGTATCTTAAACTCCCTATTATTATTATAGCTAGTACGTATACAAATACACCTACCCGTAATCCGAATCTCCATCGGCACAAACTGCATAAAATACGACTTGGTGAAGTGTGTTTTTTTTCCTTCTCTGAGGCTAGCTGCCCTAAGTATTTGACTTTCTCATATCAGTCGGTGCTGGTTCTACAGAGTCATCGTAATCTACGATTTCCTCCTTCACAATTCCAGAATCCGGAGAAGACGAGCGAAGCTTTGAGAATCGCTCGCTGTTTTCTCACGGTTCAGGTTTGTTTTCTTGGAGTGTTCAGAAAATGACGTCACAATCAGAGAACAATAGCTTTGTCACTGGAACATAAATTTGTAATGGCGGACGCGAAAAACCTACATTTTCAAGCTCAATATTTTCACTTAGAGGGCGCCAAAGTTCATTTCAATGACCGAAACAGGTACAGCCACTTCTGATAAGCTGAAAAGAAAGCGTTTTTGTGACAAACTTGACATTAAATTTTGATCGTAGTAGCACTTTAAATTATTAGAAATCTTCACGAGATCTTAGGGTTCGGTAGATTCGTTATTGTATCAAACACTAAAAAGGACAATCATTTCCTTTTTTATGGTCGCTCTAGTGGCCCATGGCCAGTGATATGGCGATGTTGGGGATTACCTGTTAGTGAACATTTAGAAATTCTAGGAAAAAAACAGCACTGCTTCATAGTGTAAACTAAAACAAATAAATTTCTATCAGAAAGATTAAGATCTCGTTTTTTAGAGTCAGGGAGGAGGGGAGTATACCCTGATGAGCAATTCATTCCCGTATAAGGAATTTTTTGTATGGCTTGGGGGAATTTGGACGTCTCATATCATTAAAGTTTTTGGTGTTTTTCTTTTTCGTCCCCATCCGAAACCGTTACCTATTTAACTCCGGTCGACAGTTCGAGAACACGAAGTAGCCGAATTTTTTAGAAGACATTTTTGAACAAGCAATATCTTGGTCCTTCGCCGGGGAAAAACACAAAGTCCAAAAATCGTAGCCCTACGAACTTCCTAGAAGTCCGTTATTTAAAAAAAACCTCGTTGGGTGCCCATGACTACTGCTGCAACTGCCAGCATTAGAAAAAGAAAAAGAACCAGTGTGAACTGCGTGAACAGCATAGATCTTTTATCATCAACAAACTATGAGATATATGTGCAGTGTCTACGTAGTTGCCTTAGAAAATTTTCTTCCTCCATTTTAAATCAAAGAATATACCTGTATGTACAAGAAAACCATACATAACATCACCCTCAAACTGTCTTCCTTTCTGAAAACTGCACTGCAGACCGCAACGTTCATTTTTCATTGGGCCATCCCTTTTTTTCATCGTTTACGGTCGTCCGACCGACCTAAATTTTTGCATTTTTCAAAAAAAGACCTGTTTGAGAAAAGGAATATAATTAGCCTGTCGTAGTTTCTAACAGCAAAAATCCCTATTGTGTGATTATCATATCTCCAGGACGTCCTTTTCAAGCAGTTGCCGAAAAGTGAGGGATGCTTGTATGTCGTATTATCGTGGGAGTTTCGGTAACAAACCGTCTTCCGCCATATTGATTTTGTGTTCATGTCTTTTTGTTTCCAGGCTCCACAGCAATGATGCTGGATTACAAGGCCTCCTATTCCGAGACTTCTTGAGATTTTTTAAATTTTTTCTTTTCAATCCGACCGACCTACCCAGGAAATACATTCAATACCCACTACCATGAGGGAAAACTTTAAGTGCAAAGAGCCTTTCCCTGTCTACCTTTTTCTGCAGCTCAGAGTGGTTCTAACGGACCCTCAGTTAAACGTGGCTAATACTGTTCTGCATCACAAAAATGTACAGTAGTTAATTATAAATTTACCACAACTGACTCCCGATAACTCGAACGTCGCGCTAACTCAAACCAAAGTCGATTTCCCCTGGATTTCCTTCATACATTAAAAGTTATTTTACCCACGGTTACTCGAACCATCGATAACTTGAACCTCCCGCTAAATCGACGTAATTTTTGTTTCCTTTCAGATCATTTCTATCAGTAACTTTACTTTCGATAACTCGAACCATGTTTTAAGCCCATGACAAGTCGAAGAAAAAAGAGTGTGCTGAAGTCCGAAACATTGAGTTTATTTCAAAATAGTCGTGTCATTTGACCTTTACTTTTTTTCACTCCTGACCAGTTCAAATCAAGTGTCCATCCTTGTATATTAATCAAGCTTTGTTGCTTAATTCTTTTTTCAAAATATTTAAATCTTTATTTCTTGCTTCCCGTGAAGTTTGCATGATTACCGTATACTTACAAATTCCCTCACCATCCATTAGCTTATTTCCGCTTATTTGCTTCGAACTCCTAAAAGGTTCGACTTATCGGGAGTCAACTGTACTTCATTACGGTCTTATTTACTTAGAAAAAAAACTTCCACTGGCAACGAGGGAATAATTAACCAGCTGTTTAAAAGCGCTTAATTTTACCTCTCGCCTATTTGGGTGATACGCTCTATTAATTTCTTTATTGAAAAAATGTAGAATTGCTCTGACCTACCGCGAAAAGTTTTAGCTACCTTAAACAACTCGCCGATTTGAACTGAGAGACATACCGGCCTTTTCAACTACAGCAGCGATTGTTGTAACAGCAAATTTTAACTGAAATAATTATACAGTTATTTTCAAGGGATTATAATGACTCCTCTAGTGGGGTTAATTTAACTCCTTACAGTGGAGTTATTTTTCGGGGAGTTGTTTTAACTCCAAAAAGGAGTTTAAAGAACCCTTTTCAGGAGTAAAAGTGACCCCAGATATTGAGGAGTTAAAATAACCCCCAAAAAAGAATTATCCTGTACCTAAAATTTTTACTCCACTTTCAGAGTTAAATTAAATCCAAAAAGAGTAAAAACAACCCATGTAGGGAGTAAAAATGACCCCAATTTCGGAGTTATTTTAACTCCAGACTGGGAGTAAAAACAACTCTTTTCAGGAGTAAAAATGACCCCAAATTTGGAGTTAAATTAGGAGTTAAAGTAACCCCAAAAAGGGGTATCCTGTACCTAAAATTTGTACTCCATTTTTTGAGTTATAATAACTAAAAATTACGGTGTATACAAGCAATTTGAATATCCGTAGCTTATGATTATTTACTAAGTGTCATAGGCAGTCCTCAAACGCTTCCATCAGAGACCACATTGTTCTTTATTCTTGTCTGTTTTGTTCACTTGAAGGTGATCAAGTACTCCGGATAACACTGCCAGTCGTAGAAGGCGACAAATATTCCAGGGTCGGGAATCTGATCGACCACGGAGTCAAAGGTGTCTGTAGGATCCAGATCCTTTGGCGGAGGCGTCAGAAGACCAGGTCTGCCAACTGTGTATTCACCCACTAGGACCTTTGCGAGATACATGTACCTGAATCCGTTCGAATCAGGTGGAGAATATGTAGACCGGGCCGAGTAGGAGGCATCTGACGCGAAGTAGACGCCATTTCCATACATTGTAGCTAAAATGAGAAAGATTTGAATGATTGAAGACAAAGAAAGCCATTGAGAAACATGTTTTTTCTGCGTTCTGTAAACAATACTCAACACTAAACATCTTTGATTAGCAGAATAGTCTCATTTGTTTTTTTTTCTTCTCTCTCCATGGAGTGCACCAAACTCTAAGGAAAATCAGAACTTGATGTATCTTCAGTTCTCATGTTCCAGATTTATAACTATTTATTTCGTATGAGAAGTCTAGTGTTTACTAATTGTTGAAATACAGGCGGCTTGACCGGCTGTACTTCTTTAATGTCTTTCTGCTCTTGACTACTCCCACTAAAAAAGAACCCACGCTCCACTTTTTCACATTTTTAGCGGCTAACAATGAGGTGGATTCCCTAAAGCAAAGGCCTCTTTCTGCCTAGCCTGTTCCAGGCGTTCAGATAGTGGGGAGCGGTGCGAAGTAAAAAGGAGCGCGAAAAAATAAAAGCGAGGGAAGAGGAGAGGTGAGAGAGGGAACGCCTGTTAGATTTGTTTTAAATAGACTCTTCCGCCCAGTCAGACCGCATCAGCTGTAGGTGGTCTTCACTTGTCAATCAAGACTGGTGTTACAGCCCGATGCATTTATTATTTTTCTTGCGAATAAATCGAAGTTTGTCAGATCAAAAATTAATATTATGTATACATAATCTTACTAAAAACCCAATGTAAGACTTTCAGACAATAGAAGGCGGGAGAAGTATTCATGTATAATGAATTTATTTACGGTTTTAAAACATGATTTCAGCGTGTACGTGACAAAAAATTATGAATCAAGTGACAAACAAATATCGCTCATTTCGATAGAAAGCCGTTTCAATACAGATCGTTAACTCAAGCAATGAAAATGCACAACAATTGAAGGGAAAATTTACTATTCGGTGATTGAGTGGACCTCGTCAATAGCGATAGCTGCAACTTGCTTTCCAAGCTTTCCTTTTTGAAGTCCTTTTGTCCATTCATTATACAACCACGATTTGGCACTTCAGTAAACAATTTCACAGCTTCCACTTTTAACGGCTTCATCCACATCTTCTCCCATCATTGCCGCCGCAAATATTCCACTTGGTCTTCCATGATGGTAATCAACGGAGTTACCACAACAATCGTAAATGGCATTCTATCCTGCCTTCATTCCAACGCACGCTTTATTCGAGGAAAAAACTGGAAAATAAGAATTTTTCCAAAGCCAGTCGGTGAGAAATTGCTAAGACATCTATCCTACCGACTACGTGTTTTAAACAGTTTCTTTGCTCTTCGCTTTTAGCCTACACGTTTGGAAAGTCACTCAGCGCTGTGTTTGTTGCGAGTTTGAATTCTGCGTGACGGCACGTAGAGTCTGTCATAACGGCCATATCGCATTTCTCGCTGTGATCGAAGACGCTCCACTGTTGACAAAAACTGTCAAAATCAACCAATCAGAGGGTATACCAGGATCTGGTATACCGGAACGCACTTTTGTTAAGAATTCTTACAAGCGTTCCCTCACCTCTCTCCCCAGTCCCCCTCTACTTTTCATCGCTATCTTTACTTCGCACCGCTCTCCACTATCTGAACGCTTGGAACAGGCTACTTTCTGCCGGTAAGCCCTACCGCATCACTTTGATCATAGGGAATGAGGCCTCTGCTAGACGAGAAAAATGTCGAACGCTCTCTTTTAAACTTCGATTGCTCATCTAGATATATATATATATATATAAATATAATTTTATATTATAAAATACGTACCATTTTTCCCTGAAAAGTTTCTGTTAAATCCCGTTTTATTTATCAGCTGGGTGTTTCCCCCTGCAGTTCCATGAAAAAGCCACATTTCGTTACTTCCCTTCGCCTCATCCATCTTTTGCCTGCGGATCGCGTACGTTCCGTATAGGGCAGGATTTTGAACTCGTTCTACCTTCTCAATAACTTCATGTTTGCATGTTTTTCGGAATTTACCATGTACGAACTTGTACTCTTTTGCATCATTAGCCTGGTCAAGTTGATAGAGATGGACAGCTTTCTCAATGCCTTCCTGGTCTTTCGGCTGGGGAGTCCAATGTTTTGGTAGGGGAAGTGCTAAAACAAGAACAATACGGCCAGTTACACTACGAAACATAAGACGCTATTTTATCTTTTATGTGTAAAATGCATGTTTAACTTTTTCTCTTCGCTTTTGTTGCCCGGTCTGCGAAAGAGAAAATCGAAAATTTGATATCTAAGGTAGTTTGGCAAACTTTCATGTGCATGGTGCATGAAGTGTAGTATTGTTGTGTTACATTTTTTAGCAGGGATATTGCACAACTTTACATAGAGGATGAAGAAAATGCAACTGGTGGTCGTTTTTAAAGACGTTATTAGTCTGGGGAAGAGCAATTCATATCCTGCTATATTTATAATATCTTTCACAGCTCATCGGTATAGGTAATCGATCCACCCGGCTTTGGCTTCCTTACCTCTACGGTCAACTCTCTCAACTTCTGCGACGACAGTGCCAAATCTATCTTTGACATTCATTGTCCTAAAGACTATTTTGTAATCTCCGTAGATGCTCACATCAGGTTTATTCTCATGGTGAGCATATTCAATCTTCGCATTTGTGAATGTGTCGTAGCTCACAAGCTTATCGGCATCTTTGTACATCCATTGGATATCTTTTGCCAGCTCTTTGGCTCGCTTGAGTTCATGTTCTTCTTCCTTAACTTCAAGCAAAATTTTGTGGATCTCTCCAACAGCGTTAACTACGTCACCAGCCTGGCCACCTAGTATGATGCGTCCCACTTCTCTTTCTACTGTTGCTTTTACTTCGTATCTTAACTCGAGGGTGTGAATTCGTTGGATATGTCTTTCTGTCAAAATGGTTATGGCGTCTTGCACAATCACCTGCTTTGTCGACTTCTCGTCAATGATTTCATTGACTTTGTTAACGGCTCCCTCAAGATCCTCTTTGCAACCAGCGAAGATGTAAAGGTCAAGGGACTTGTCATTAGGATTAAGTAAGGCCACATTCGACACAGCGTTTCTTTCGTGATCGCCAAAACCCAGAAGGCTTCCAACACGTGAAGCAACTCGCTGAAATAGTCCACGCTTTTCAGCTGACGTTTCCCCCGAAGCTTCCTCTATAGACGACCTAACCTCCTTCAGCATTTCCCTCTGGAAAATGACCATGTTGATAAGTTGCATTGAAAGAGGACGCTTCTGACTGAACTCTCGAATCGCGGACAAAATTGCATCGGCACAATCTTTTGGAGATAAACCGAGGACACCGGTTCCAATGGCTGGAAATGAAATCGACGATAATCTTTTTTTTTCAGCAACTTGAAGGCACTTTAACACAGACGCTGTGATGCTTTTATTATTCAGGGGATCTAAAGGGACAATATGAAAGATGAATCTCGTTTTCAATTTGCCTGCGCTTGTAACGACCACAGATCCTGGTGCTTGGGGACCTTTCTGGGAACATTCCAGTTGAATGGAGCGTCCTCCCGATCGAAGAATTGCTGCCCCAGCTCCCCCACCCCTCTGGATGTCTAGATCACCATTAGAAATGACAACGATGGCATCTGTCGTCTCTTCTGTTATATCACCAGGCTTAACTTTAAAGCACAACGTTCCCACATTTGTTTCCAATTGATCGTGTTCTCGCTCTTTTAAAGGTGAGAATGGACTGATCTCAGGTGAGGATGGCTGGGAAGTTTTGATCGATTTGCTAAGATCCCTTTGCAAAAAACCTCCTCGTTCTTCAGCTGAAGGAGGTGAATTGTTTGCTATCCTCTTCTTGAATTCTGCGTCAAATGCTTGGACAGTTGGATAATCTTGGTCGTAAAGAACGAACTTTACCTCCTTCAGTGAGGTCGTCGGATAACTCTGCTTAAAAGACATCACTTCATCAAAGTACATCTCGGCAACTTCGCCTCGAGGAAACCGTAGAATTCCAGTTCCAATTGCAGGAAAAGCAATTGAAGTCATTTCCATCGTAGAGGCAGCTTGAAGACACTTTCTTACAAGCTTCTTCAGAACCTAATGTGATGTAATGCGTAAGATATTTAAATCAGCTTAAAAGCTGTAACCTAAAGGAAAGTTGGAATATTAAAGCCGGGGACTGCGTCACAGCTGTGTAGTTTATTTTGTTATTATTGTCAGTTACGCTTCCTTATGTGCTAAGGGGGCTTAAAGTTAACGAAGAAATAACTTGTAAACGACAAAATGAAAGCTTTTGTCCAAAAAATACACTTCCCAAGTATTACACCAAACGTTACAACAACAAAAACGATTTTTGAAAAACTCATAGGCTAACAAGTTTTGAAAATCCCACAGTTTTGTATTTGCTGTGTTATAATGTTTTGAGGGACTATTTTTATGTTTCACTCAATTGGTGGCAGTTCCTACGTTTAGAATTTTGATACAATTTGTGACACAGCTCCTTTAATTTTGAGCAGCAACAGTAAAATGGTGGTAAAGGCCTCCTTTTTAAACCACCTTGTCGCGTTCGTCAGAGCGCATCCTAATCTGGTGTTTTTAAGGCACTAAGGCAGAAATTTTCGAGCTATCACTGGCAACTGCAAATTAGCGACCCCTATTGATTTTATCAGGGGCACCTCGGCCGGGAAACTGGACTCCTTCGACTCAATTGCGTTTCTGTAATTTTTCCTTAAGTGACGAACGCGGATCCGTTATCAATAATTACCTCTAGTATAGTGTGTACTAGAGGACACCCACTAAAGGTTTTTTTCATTCCGTCGTACAGATTTTGTTGTTTCTCTACGTTTAAATAGTATTACATATCAACCATAAATCCTCTATTCAAACTCACTTAATAAAGACGGGGAACTTTTTTAAGAAGGGCGGGGGGGCTAATTTAATTTAGCAAAGACGATGGTATCAGTTCTTCATAAAGCGCAAGAATATGCAGTGGAAAAGCTCAAGTACAAGACGTTGGAGGTCATGCAGCCGAAAATCAAAATAACATCCGAACTTCCAGTTGGTGAGTAAACCATCTCGGATCAGTCCACATGACGTTTTTACAGTCATGACTGATTGATTGATACAGTGTAAGTCTATCATTTATTAGTGGAGAACCAGAAGGGGAGGGGAGAGGGAGTTTAAAAGTGAGGGGGGCTTATTAATTTTCTCAGTGAAAAGGGGGTGGGGGCTTATTTGTGAGGGGCAGGGCTTAATAGAGGATTTACGGTATGTTTCTGTATGATTTGTATTAACAACGAGGTTTCAATAAGTGATAATAAATGATGGACTAAACGACTATGCATTTAGATCCCATTTCCTCTTGGCCAACCTGCGAGTGCTCTCGGCAAGCTTAGAACACTTGTCTATTTGTTTGAGAATATCTGGAAACAGATAGCTGATTATATTTACTGAGAGGTTTTGGCTATTGTCACCTTACAACTGGCTAAAGTTTTTGTTAGCTTTCCTCCTTACCTTTTTGCCTTTGCCGCTCTCCCATTCACAGCATATGGCAAATATAACAGCCTTGCAATTGAGATTTCCAGGTTGATTGTTTACAGCAATATCGCCTACAGCAGTTGGACCTATTTTCGTACATTCCTGCTGCAGGTTTGGCCCTGCTGCTTGACTAAGGGCGTTTGCAAGGGGATTTTGCTGTAAGTTGAGGTTCGATGCCGCGGTCCCCACCAGGATATCCACCTAAAAAGAGAGGACAGTTCACGAATAAACTTAACTGTTGAAGTTCAGTATTCTGTCCTGAACAAATTTAGTTCTTATCCTCATTTTTTATTTTACAAAAAGTGACACTTTAATTGCCAGCTCTCAGCACCTAGGTTAGGGTAGGGCGGGGTTGGTTGTACTCAACTTTTTACGATACTAAGGCTCCTCTCTACGAGATCCAATTTTTGGCCTAAAGAAGAGGCACCTCTTTTGCATGCATTCCTTTGAAAAATGGTATCTCTTTAAAATACTCAATTAAGAACACTGTGTCCCAAATGAAATGAATGGCGTTTATCGACTATATAATTATGCGTTACCGGAGTTGCTAAGCAAACTATGACAGATTTCCCTACCCTTTAACATACTTCAACTGGTGAAATTCCCATCCTAATATTTACATAATCGCCCGAACAGATACCCCCTGGAGGCTCAGTACATTGTTGCACACCTCTTGCCATTGTAACAGTGATGCATTTTCGATTCCTGCTACAAAGGATTTTCTCCGGGTTTTCCCAGTTTTCTCTTCTATGCCAGTATACAGCTGTCCAATTACTATCATTTATTTTATTTATCTTTCATGTTTTTGTTACTCGTCGAATTATCTATTTGTAGTCCAAGTTGCTATTTTCAAACGCATTTGCATCTTTATTACTTGCTCTTTTTGGGCAGGTACTCCAATTTTAAAATTATTCGTCGCTCAGACTTTCCCGTGCTATTAGTAACTGGTATAAGTCTTTGGACTTATTACAAAAGACATTAACTGGAGGGGGCTTTTTTGAACAAAACCCCTCCAAATAGGTTTCCAGAAAACTTGGATCACTCTTACGAATTCCCAAGAATTTAAGACGTGCAGTTTGGTAATTAACAAGTCTCGAACGTTTAAAAATGTCTTAATATAGCCAGCATAATTTTGTTTCTTTCTTTTATGTGTTTGTACCGGGCTGTTTACTAGTTTTTTTAATACGCGAACTTAACATTTAGTAAACGAGTTTAAAATTGCTACCTGCTCTTTTGACAGGTCACCAGATTTCACAATGATGCGCATGCCTTGAATGCTGAACGATTTCTCGCCTTCTTTGGTGTGACTTGCCACCCTTGAAGCTGCTCTGGGTTTGGGATTGGTCATCTGATCAATGAAGTTTCTGTCCTGAGAAAATCTTTTTTTCATTTCATCTGCGAAGGTTTTCACAGTAGAGGTATTGATATCGACCAGATGAATATCTGATAAGTTGCAACTTGGATTTTCTTGGCAGAAATCAAGAATTGCATCTATGATAACTCCAGCGCAAACGTCGAGCGGAACCCCAAATATACCGGAACTGACAGCAGGGATAGCTATAGACCTCATTTTTTCTGCTTCTTTTAGTGAATTCTTGATTGCAAATTTCAGGTACCTTTCTTGATTTGTTGTTTTACCTTCTTTTCTTCGTTCAGTCGCTTCGTAATCCCACCTTGGCCCAACCGCGTGGATGATTTGATTACAGGGCAATCTCCCTGCAGTGCTAACCATTGTCTGTCCTTCAAAAAGGGGACCATTCTTTCTTACGAATGCAGTACATTCGTCCTGAATTTCTCTTCCACCTGCTTGTACAATGGCTGCTGCAAGGCCTCCAATATGATTCAAGTCACCATTAGCAGCGTTAACAATTGCATCAACTCTCTCTTTTGTGATATCCCCTTTTAAGACAGATATTTTCTTTTCTTGACTTGTAAGGTAGGTACAAATAGTTTCCATGTTAAAACTGGATTCTAATTCTTCGTCCTCAGTCACTCTAACCCCGTCCGCACCTTTACCATTCGTACGTTCACTTGGGAGAATAACACAACGGTGTTTTTCTCCTATTTCTCTCAAAACGTGCAGTCCTCCACCGTTTAAAAAGAATTTCTTCATCCCTGGTTTATCAACTGGAACGGTGCCTTTTTGCACCGCACTGATAAGCTCTCCCAGCAGTGGCATGCACTCCTCTAGTCCCTCAGCAGTACCAGCTATGTCAATGCCCTCAGAGTCAGTGGTGACTCTCATATCGATAGAGTAATGAGCAAGTTCCTTTTTAATGTTGTCAAGTTTGTCTCTCCATACTTCGGTAAGAAATCTTCTGGTCCCGTACTGAGTTGGTATTGTGGTATACAGAATAGTGTTTTTTTCCAGAAAGGCCTTAACCTGCTTGAAGCATTCTTCGACATCTTCTGTTATCCCACTGACCCAGATAGTACTAGCAGAATTATCCACACTTATTCCAACTTTAAATTTAGACGTAACGGTAGACTGAAAATCTTTCCAAAGACTACTTTCAAGTACTTTGGCATTTTCGAGAGATAAATGGAAGCTTCGTTCTTTGATGTTGTCCCGTAGAATGCGTTCTGCTTCTTGGGTGTTTCTTAGATCAACGCCAACAAGTTGTATTTCGTTGGAGCTTTGTTGCTGATCATAAAGCACGACTGCCTGAACTGACTTTTTCTTTAACACCTCCTCTACAAACTTTGAAACTTGAGGCCTCTTTAGGACTGTTATCACTTTGGCTGGTAGCTCTGTTGTAAGTTCTGCTATCTTTGAAATGAACGTCAAGACCTGAATTCGGACATCTTGAAGCTGGCTTCTCGGGCCCTCTAGGCAGAGTTTCTGACCGTTGCTGTCGATAGTGATATTCAAATGCTGATACTCATCTCTAAGTCGCTCGCAAATGCCTGACTTTTCAAGCAAGGTTAGCTTGGACATTGGAATGCCATCTTCAACAACTTTGACGACAGACTTCATGAGCTTAGCATTTTGTGTAACCCCATGGATCAACTCCTGCAGTTTTTGGTTTTCTTTATCGACGTATGTTTCTTTACCAATGATTTGGACTTGCCGTCTATGGTTATCAAAAGAAATCTGAAATTCGACAGGCCCTTGGGTATTATTTTGCTTCTGCCACCTCTGCACTATCTCATCAAAGATTTCGGCAGCAATGTCTAACTGACCTTTTTTGAAGCTATGCAAGAAGTTTTCCACCCACTGTACTGCCTCCTTCCACGACTCGACAGAAGTCGTCTTGTTGTCTATAGGAGAGAGAGCAACGATCTGCATCTGGGAATGCGAATCGGCTTCAAGAAGTTCAACTTGAGCTTTGCACTCTTCGAGCACATTTTGCAGTTCCCGTCCATGGTTTTGCTGAATGTAGTGAAAGACTTCTGGATCTAACGCTATTTCTGTTTTGATTGTTGTTTCATCTCTTAGAAATGGATAATATGGAATAACATTCAGCTGCCGATCCTCTAAGGTGTGGTTTTTTTTAATAACGTTTTGAATACCTTTAAAGAAAAAGGAATTCATAAAGAGTTAAATAGATCGTCTTTTATTTCTTGAACAACCAAAAATTAAGACGGAATCCATCAGAAAACTGAGTAATTTTAATTTTCAGTGGACAAAAGCCTTGTACAGTGGAATCCCGTTAATACGACCACTTTCGGGCCATGGAAATTTGGTCGTATTAACGGGGTAGGGTCAAATTATGGTGCAAAATGCTTTTAAACTACATTCTACTACATGTATACCTTTAATCCGTTATAAATCAACCTTTTTGCAGTTAATTAACAACCTTACAACCGCAATTCAATGCAACTGAACAATGTAACAGTAAACGAAACCGAGTTATGAGAAAAAACACCGACTTCTTTCACTTCCTTGTTATAAAAGGAAAGGGCTTGTGATTTGTCTCGAAGAGCCGTTTTCTATATTGTAGCGTACAACACTTTGACAATTATTACAAAGTTCAAAGTTCTGGGAGAAAAGAACAGGAAATGGACTTGAAGAGAAAAGCCACAGTGGAAGGCAGCAGAAACAAGAAGGCAAAATAACTTTGAGAGCCTCGAAATGCTGCAAAGTGAAGTCTTTCAGATCTTTTGTATTATTTATTCATGCATCCTTTTTACTGTACACAGCACTTTACCGGATGTCATGCTAACCACTAACACCTTTGCCTAAAAACATTCAATAAAATATTAGTAATAGGTTATTAGTTGTCCGATTGTGTCTGTTTTCATTCAGCAGCCCCACCAAGCATTTTGACCGGTCGTATTAACGGGGTAATTTTATAAAGAAAATAACGACTCAGGACTCCCAAAGGTGGTCGTTGGTCGTAATAACGGGGTGGTCGGATTAACGGGGTTTTCAGATAAGAAAATGAGTGGGCTTTTGTTCGGGCCAAAGAAAAGTGGTCGTAATAACGCGGTGGTCGTATTAACGGGGTGGTCGTATGGCGGGGTTCCACTGTAGTAGAACAATTTAAAGCCTATTGCATTCTTTTTTACATCTTTCAAGGGATATAGATGTAATTAGTTGCCTGTAATAACACCAAAGAAAACTTCTAATGGGAGCCCAGGAAAAAAAATTTAAAATTTCACAAAATGACATCTTACACATGAAATTTTCAGAATTTTACCTGGGTTTTCGCAGTTCTTGTAAAATTTGACATTTATTTTCTCGGGCTCCCACAAGAAATTGTCTTTGGTGTTATTGCAGATAACGCTTTATAAAATATCTATTCCCCTTGAAAAGTCTAAAAAGGAAAGCGATATTGTTTCAATTTTTCTGGTCCATGGTTTTTGTCCACTGAAAATTAAAATTACTCATTAAAACAATTTCCTGATGAACTCCGTCTCAAACACTTCCCCAGTCTCTTTCGTCGCTTAGACAAGAGAAATATGACTTTTAATAAAATAAGAAAACTCAGCAGAATGTTATAACTACCTTTAGTTTAAGGCTGAGGCAACAAACTTATTAGGTGGTCACAAATGTAAAAAAAAAAAACAACAAAAAAACAAAAAAACAGGTGGTCTAAAGTGCGTCTTATTCATGGTGGCATTATTAGTTTTTTTATATTCATGTCAACTGGGTCTCTTTGCATCGAGTTCTCCTGCGGAATACAAAAGACCTATTCCCTAGAAACGAAGTATTGAGGGCCAAGATCATGAAGGCAAAAAATTACTAAATTTGTCACCATTTTCAAAAAAAGTATAAAGAATAACGATCACAAAATGTAATAAATAAAGAATAGGTTATAAATGAAAGATTAGGGTAGTAATATTGAATGTATCAGTAGCGGTAACACAGGAAATATGTGAACACTTGGTATTAAGAAGTATCGGCTGATTTAAGGGTTGACCGAGGGGACCGCGGCCCTTTCTGAATTTTCTGGATCCCGTAAAGAACCGTATTATAGTTAAATTTCTTACTTCCAGGATCCTCAAAGGAAACTATGGCTTTATCTTTGCCTTTTCTTTCAACATGGCTGACGTCCTCTCCTCCGCTTCTTTTCTTATTTTCAAAGTAAAGTTGTATGGCATCTTGTGACGTTTTATCTCCAAGTCCTGTGACCAGAATACTGGTGCAAATTGGCACTCGTTCTAGACGAAGTTTACATTTGTCGAGCCCCTTGGGGTCTTTATGCACTTTATCCAGCAATAATCGAAAATCTGAAAACACGAGAAAAGAATTTTAACTAAACCATACTTCATTGTACACGGTGCAGTCCATAAAAGCTGTGGGAATTATGCAACAACGGAAGAACGCCAACCACACAATCATGAAGTATGGTTAATGCAATGCGTATCGTGAGAGGTATTTTCACGTAAAAACAAACATAGATTGATTCGCCAAGAAACTAGAAAAGGGTTACGTTGAGGGTACCAGTACAGTATTTTATTTCCAGGTGCTTTAATTATCCCTGAATTATTGATTGACCGTAAAATATAGTTATAATTTTAAGAATGTAGGAAATCTCAAATGCAAGGCTGCAGAGTTATTCTTCTCAAGCGGTACCAACCCACAAATGTAGTCCCCAAAAGGAATGACATGGACGCTCCCACCGCTTTTTTTTTTAAATATTGTACCTCTAGGGTAAAGACCAAGTGACTGACGTCACGCGACGCAACTATCCGGGGCTGCTATCAGTGTTATAAAAACGCTCTTTTCACTGACACGAACAAAAATAAAGCAGAATAACTGCGTCCCTACCTGGTTCTTTGTCAAAAACAGCAAGAGCGTTTTTGTTGCTTCCAAAGTACACGTTCTTTACTGAAGCATTGTCGCAGAATTTTTCCAAATAAAAGGACAGACAGTCTTCGGTTGTGTGTTCGCTGAGTCCTTGAATATGGATTCGAACAGGGTCTGGTGGCACTTTTTTCTGCCTCTTAACTGTAATACGTTTTCCGTCAATTGAATGAGTTCCCTCCAGAAGTCGCTGTAAATCTGTTGAAAGGTGATAATAAACTCCGGTTTAACCGGCATTTTAAAGGTTCTCCTTAATGATATAATATGTAGATTTAGACAAGGCCAAAACCAAAGCTCTCGAGGGATCTCTTAAGAAGTGCGCTTTCTCCAGTTATTCACCTTTTGCCGCAAGCAGAAAGCATTAAACTGAATTCCACCTTAAAAATAGGTCTGAGCCCTCGATCAATTGAAAGCTAATGAGTGGTCAGTTGAAAACTTTAAAAAATAAGTCGCTTCAATAAGTTGTATATCTGAGCCCGCGATAAAGTCATGTAACACTGGTCAGCGGAAACCCTTTTGACAGCTATCAATTGACCATGACATGGATGTCCAATATCAAGTTAAACACAGATATGCCTTAGACTCCTAGCTAGTAAGTCTTTCACATCTCCTAACATGATGGGGTTGACGTACAGACGGACGGACAATCTTGTTTTCATAGATAACCCGATTTTCTTACCTATGGTACTCCTCTGCGCGATTCGCGCGCGAGAGAGCTCTGCTATCAAATATTGCAACATGCATTATGATTTCGGGTTTGAAACTGAAGCTTAACTAAACTCTTCGAAAGGCGACTTTTACTGGGCTGCCATAAAACCCAGACTGTACAAAAATATTATACTGCATGAAAACGACAAGTTAAACCAAGAGAGGATAAAGGGGACAGAGAAGGCATCCCCTATACACTCCCTATTCCATAGGTAATTCGTCTCGAGTTATTTTTAGAATCGGGATAAAGTTCCTTCGCGCGCTGCGTGGATGTTTCGTGGAGGTTTCGCATGACTAAACGCCGTGCAAAGCATGTCGGGCGAAAGGCAATGAAAGCGTAAAGAGATCGAGAGCATTCCTGAATATTGAGGCGAATTGAGTCGGCGCTTTGACATTAGTGAAATCAGTTTAACTCGAAGTTGTCGTAACCTCAGTGCTTTAATAAAATGAGAAATTTCGCCGGTCTATTGAAACCGGTCGTTTGTAAAATAAAGCAAGTAAGACGCCAAGTGTTATTTTTGTTGAATAATAAAACACTAATAAAAGAATAAATATCAAACCAGAAATTGCTCTCTTCAAACTGTAAATTATAAATGATCCTGAGAAAATATTCAGTGTGTTAAGGATTTCCCTGCTGTACTGTTAGCTCTATACAAGAGAGGAGGGGCGATTTTTTTTAAAATTTCCATTTCGCTGACACCGCTTTAGTAGAAATCTCTGTTTAGTCGTTTTCGTCGACAGAACGAATAGCAATATCGCTCTCCGCGTCTTCCGCCATTTTTTTCTGCGTCAATTCGTAAAGGACGCGTGGCTCTGAGTGTGGGTCATCCACGCGGAACACATTCATGCTATGTGATTGGCTGTTGTCTAATCCCCCTTGGGATCTGTGGTCTTAAAAATAACTTGAGACGAATTACCTATGGAATAGGGTGTGTATGGGGGATGCCTTCTCTGTCCCCTTTATCCTCTCTTGGTTAAACAGTACAGACAGCGAACAGCTTACAAACACAGGTCTTTATTCAAGCGAGACTATACTGTAGAGATGGCCAATAGACGATAGCCTATAATTTATGATCGACACACTTAGGTTGATCTGACTGGCCGGCCACAGCTTTCTCGAGCACGATAGAAACGTATTGTAATATAACAATGCACAGTACAGTGACTCCTACGCTACGCGTCGACAAAGCAAGGAAGAGCAAGCGACAGATACCCGGACAGATACTACGGTGAAATACAAGAACTGCACAAGATTGTTTGCCAAAGTGCATTATTTAATCGCATTCCACTGGAAAAAAGTTAATGAACTCCAAAGTAAAATATGGATTCGGATTTACTTCGTAAGAAGATGCAAAAGATCAAGGATTGTGGAAGAACGTCGAGGAGAGCAATGTCAAGTTTGCGTGTTTTGAGAGAATCAAAGCTATCACTTTGTCTGCTTCGTCGGTATGAACTGTGCAATATTCTAATGAAAATAATGTCCGGATTGCTTTGTTTACAAAGCTGTTCTTGCAATTAGATGAATGACTGCTGCTGTTGAATAGTTACAAAGCCAAACCGTTGTTCAATGTTGCAGATTTGTTTAGAGTTATCTTCGTTGTATCACGCGCCTTTGTAACGCCTGCAAGTGCTATGCGACCAACGGTAATAAACATTCTTACACTTTTCGAAGTTTCTCTGCAGCCATATTGCAGCACAAGTTGTGATTCGGGAATTTTCTGTACCGCTGCAGCAGCGCTGTTCACCACTGTCAAACCGCTTTCAATGGCAGCGCTCAACAGCCTAAATTTGCAACTGCCCCAAACCCAGCCCTTTCACAGTTCTTTGCAGCGCTTCTTGAAGTCACAAAACCTATAAAATCACTCCGTATGGATTGTAAATAACACATAGTCGAATCACCTTGATAAGAGCAAAAAATGCAAAACATTCTCCATTCGCAAAGCCTTCTGGGTTACTGGATTGATAATTGAAAGTGTTCATTTAAAAAAACCCATATTTATAAACTAGGTGTGCCTTGAAGCGGCCTAGTTAAAAAATCCCGGCACTTTAGTTACCTCTTTTGCTATTACTGACAGTACAAAGTTAGTTCTTCTTGACAAGGTCAGTGATCATCGCGATAAGTTCAAGTACAGATACCGGTACATAGAACGTGCACCTTATTGTCTGTACCAAAAAAAGGTCCAAGCAGTCACGCTTCTTAGCAACAAAAATTGGTTGTGAATTTGATTTAGAAGCTTTGCCGTAATTGTTTACTTTAGAAGTAAGCTGAAATCAAAATGAGATTTGCGTAATTATATTATAAGCCCGGGTTTGTTCGATTTACCAGTTTGTTAAGACCTTGCTCGTAATTCTACTTACTTACGTTACAGTTTGAGGTGAGAATTAAACTATATTGGTTTAAATGTTTTAAGCATACCTTTCACCTCAAGGAAAGCTATTACAGTGTCGCCGTCGACTTTATGATCTATTTTGTGAACGTCTCCACCACCAGATCTCCTTGAATTCTCGAAGTAATTGCACACGGCATCCTCTGTAGTAGAAGCAGAGATGCCGCTTACAATAATGGTTATTTTTTCTTCATGGTCCTCGGTATTTACCTCAGAATCGTCTGCGGTTTCCTCTTCAAATTCCTCACAGAGAGAAACACTAAGACACGCCCCGCTCAAATTGTGAGGAGTGTGCTGCACAGTTCTTATGGCATCTGAAATAGATATTATATATATAAAAAAAAACATTACTGTACACAGTATTTCATGTGCCCCAGATAATTAATTACAAATCAATCTAAAAATACTGGAAGAAAAAATACACCAATTGACTACTGACTACTGTTAGACAGTTAGCTAGAAAGCATATCGTTAAATTCAAAATTACCGAGCAAGGAAACAAGTAAAAAGAAAGAAAGACAGATTTCAATTCAATGAAGCGCTACATGACAAATCTGTAAACAAATTAGTTTCCATAAATCGGGAAACCTCAAGTCGCTTTAAATTTGTCTTTGCTGTTTTATGTTTATATTTAGTGCATTAATAAACCTACCATGTGGGGACTCAAAGGTAACCTTGCATGTTTGATGTTCAGGACTTAAAATGACATCAATGACAGGACCACCTTTCGACTTTTTTTCGTTCTCAAAGTAATTAATCACCAAATCTTCGGTTGCGCCTGGTGGTAAACCCATAACCTCTATTGTACATTGAGTAGGGTAAGCAGCTGAACCACTTAAAGAACTGGAGTAAGGAGGATCCAGAAGCTGGTGTGTGTCGCTCAAAGCGATCGTTTGTTTTCTATCAAGTTCCTAAGAAAAGAGACAACTTGTCATTGAGACCACAAAGCAGACTCTTGTACAAAAAGATCGCTCTACAGATATGTCAGCTCGGCGTTTCCAAGATCCCCGATTATTTTCTTATTTCAACCCCTGGGCGTATTAGGGGCCTCTTATGTTCAGTAATCGAAGATTCCTCTTCCTCAGCCCTCGCTGGTTCATGACAGAGAGATGTATGAGGTCGAATAATGTAATATACAATTATCGTTGTGAAAAAAAAATGCACCTACATCTGGGATGGAAGCAATGCTACAAATCAAGATAGTGTGTTCCCTCATCTTGTAGTTGGTTTAAGACTAATGGATGCACCTAATTCATTGGTGGCGTGACTATTTATATATATATATATATATATAGGAATCACACTCTCATTGTTGATTGTATTATAATAAATCAAAAGATGATAAAACTAAGACTTACATTTATACATAGCGAACTTTTATCCTTCCATTCATTCGTAGTTGGGCTAGCAATACCTACGTCCTCATGAAAAGTAGCTGGTGCCTTTTGTGCCTTGCTTGAAAACGCTTGCTTAGCCAGCAGGGACACTTGAAGACAACAGTCCCGAAAAATATGGTTGGGACGATTAAGTACCCGAGTTGCGACTACAAGAACAAAACAAAGCCATTGTAATTTTCTTGTCCATAGTACCGTTAGTAAAACGACGTCATAAACGTCTTATATAGAATAACCCTATATGAGTAAACTTGTTTTATTTACGTCCCTAGCGAGTCATTCAGCTTTCTTTCGGCGGCCGTTCGGCGTTCTGTAACATAACCCCGCTGTAGGGAAATTTTAGTGGTCAAGTTTCGATTTCAATTTCGAAATGATGTCTTCGTCTTTTCAGTTATCAGTAAGCTACGAACATCACGTTCGATAATCATTTAATAATTGTTGAAGGTGACAATGAAAAGCAAGAAAACATTAATTTGTTGCCAGATGTGCTACAGTGTCTATGTTGATATCCTACTTCCTCAAAATGGCAAGGCAAATTTCAAACAGTTTCCCCCTACGTATGGGTATATGTCATATGATGCATGTCATTCATGTGCGTCTTATTGATCTCATTGCGTCTTATTGAATGATCTTCATTGCGTCTTATTGAATGATATTATAATTGTCTGCTACGAACATTAATCAACAAACTGCTCAAATCCTATACCTTTCACGTCTTCAAAACTGATTTCTGCTCGCCCTTGATCAATTTTAATGCTTTCTACGTCGCCACCTCCTGAATCTCTCACTGACTGAAAGTAGATGATGAGTTGTGTTTCCGTTGTGTCTCCTGGAAATCCAGTGACCAAAATTCGCGGACTTTCCATGGATACAATTTAGGCTTTAGGAGAGCGGGTCTCATCAGTACTCCTAACTTGTTGCCTGCAGCCCAGAAAATACATCTTCAATAACTCAGGCCGGAAATACTTTTTTGCATAGACTTTACAAGTTCAGTCCTGATTGGCTCATCGTGCATTAGCGTAATCGCCTATTGGTTAGTACTGCCTCATCTTTCCGAGAAATGTTGCAATCGCTTTAAAGAAATTCTGAGAAATATAGTTACGTCATCAACTGAGTTCGTTTTATACCTTATTGGTACTCGGAATTTCGCGTTTTTCGTGATTGTAAAAAATCGCGAAACTGTTAATGACCTGTGAATATAAATCCTTGCGAAATTTACACATACAAAGTTTAATACCCATAAAGAAACTTTAATTCCCATAAAAAAAATATTAACATGAAATAACAACAATACAGGATATGTATCGACAAATACACAAATAATTAACTGGTTCTACTGGTAAGTTCCATTTTGTATCGTCTGTATTTAAATGACGTTAATATGCGTTTTGCTTGCAGATGTAAATTGATTTTTCACTTTCGATATTTTTACAAAGGAAATGTACAGGGATTCCCCTAACTACATAAATTAAGTATTTATCACGCGCTCCAGAATACTCAGCGAAATATTCTAGAAGGTTCTATGACAGTTCAATGAACAACCTAAGGGCTGCCTTTCTTAAAAGTAGGAGACCTTTTTGGTCTCTTATTCAACTGAAGTAAATCCTGGTGAATTAATCCCTTAGAGAAATTTTCCCATAAAGAAATGTTGTTTTCCATTTCACGCAAATTGAAATCATTTTCGAATCGATGGTCGTCAATCAGGCCGTGTTTTTCAGTGCAAATGGCCCTGAGACATACAAATTCCTCCGATTAAAGTCCGAGGCTTGGTTAAGTCAAACTAAAGAAATGGCCCCTTAGCCTCATCCTCGGAAACGGCAGTCAGTCGGGTCGGCGCGCGGAGACGGCCAACGAAAGTTTTCAAACACTGGTCAGGAGGACTAAAGAGTCCCGTTTAACCCTACTCTGTATCTTATCATCTGAAGCACTCAATTCCCTTCAATGGATCCCTCCCTCTGGTTGACGGACGACGTTTTTGCTCACCGATGCTCAGCGGTTCAAAATGCTATTAAAGGGAGCACCTAGAGACGTTTAAAATATTTTTAAGAGACTTGCATGGGCATAAAACAAGAAATAGCACTTCTTCCCTAGAATTCCCAACTGAATGGGGTAAACGACTAAACATCTCTTTATATCCTGAATTTACGCCGGCCCAGGAACAGGCACTAATAAAGACGGAAGAAACATCGATCGAAGCTAGGTCGGTGTGTCAAACGTTCACCGAATTTTGGAGGGGACGGGTAGTTTTTGTTGAATAGACGTTAGGAGTCTCCGGGAACTTTAAATACAAAAAGTTCAATTGATATTTTTTGGTTGAATGAAAATAGTTTGAGTTGAAGTTGAATGAATATTTGTGTTGAAAAAAACAAAATAGTTTGAGTTGAAGTTGAATGAATATTTGTGTTGAAGAAAAATAGTTTGCCTTGAACGAAAATATTATGTTCTTGAATTTTGCTACAAACGGCTAACCATAAAGAAATTGGTCTACCCTGACTCCTGTTGAATTCCGGATGGACGAAGAAGATCCACACTGAAAGAGAAACCACTTGATCGATTCTCGCAGAAAGATGGAAATGCAAATTTTCCCCTCTAGGATGTTTTTTTTCGGTCATTGAAGATCGCTTCTGATTGGTTGTTTAGTTCAACAAGCATTTAATACTACCTGAATTGTCCTTGTGCAGTTTTCCGAGAAAAGTAATTCGTAGAAACTACGTTAGAAGAATCCGACGTTTTCTAATCTGTTGCGTAAAACGAAGGATATCCTATGATTCTGTTGGGTACAATAAATCGATTCCTGAACTGGAACAAGCTGCATAAAGTAAGTTTCAGTTTCAAAAGGTACATCTGCACGGGGATTCCCCGAATATTCTTGACGACTTGAAATTCTCAAATCAATCGGTTTTCTATTTGTTCATTGTTACGTAGCAATCTGAACTCAACCTCGACGCTTGTTACGGGAAAATACATAGGGCACTATGACGTCTCTTCGCTCAATTCTTAGAAAGCTAGACAAGGACGATATTATGGAGAGCATTGTGGTGTCGAACATTCCTCCAGGTACCAAAGAAGAAGCGCTTGTTATTCATTTTCAGCAGCGTAAACATGGCGGCGGAGACGTGTCGGCGATAAAACTCACACAGAATGGAGACAAGGCCATCATTACATTTGAAGATGAAGAAAGTAAGTTGTGAGTGGATAAATTCCACGTTCTACCTTACCTTGTTTATTTCTTTTTCTTGTCACTTGGGCGATCGAAGATTATCGACCTATTGTCATACAGTCCAACGACTCCAGACAGAAAACAATAGGTGGAAGCGTGCTCTTTGTGTCTTTTCTACAATAAATTTGCATCGAAGAAAAATAGACCTCACACGCTGCTTTAATTTGATGGCCTTTTTTACGATTCTCACACAATTGCAAGTAAATAGGAGAGCAACTGCACAATAATTCGTAAAGCTTAGCAGCGAGGATTATTGTGAGTGCAGTAGAATGAAGCATCCGTAAAAATTGTGGACTGTGGACTGCGGATTACGGACTGTGGAGTGGATGTAAACCGCCCCCCCCGGGGGGTACTTCCTAGTGGTAGGCTAATGGGTATGTGCCGCTGGATGGGGTCGCATTTTCACGAGTGGATTGACTCTTATGGGGTTGCTTTTTTGTTCAAGTTACTAGAACACTTATGTCCAGGATATCTTTACTAGAATGGGGTCACACATCGGACTTTGGGGGTCGGAAAATTTAGGTGTGTAAGGATTTAAAAATAGAAAGATTTACACGTCATTAAGTTTAACAAATATGTCAGTTCATTTCAGGGTGACCTGGTTTAAAGGCTTTATAAGCTAGATACATAAACATAAAGTGACCAAGTTGGGATTGCGAAAGTTTCTTTTTTCCCAAAGTGACTAATATGGGGTCTACAATATGGCCACAGAATAGACTATTATGGGGCAGGCATTCTGAAAGCCCAGCGGTACATACCCAAGAAAAATTAACCCAAGTAACCAGTAACCCCCCTGCGCCCCCGCCCCCCCGGGTGTAAAACACGGACAAGTAGCTACAAGTATTAAACTACGGACAGGGTATAAGGAAAGAACTAAGTATAAAACAAACTCCAGGAAGGGAAACAGCTCCAGGAAGGGAAAACGAGTCGTAGCCGTAGTCGTAGTCGTAACCTTCCACAAAACATTCCTTTTGATCGTCACGCAATCGCTTCTGTCCAGCCTTCTTGTCGTTTATGAACCTCAGTCCCAACCACAGTGCCATTGCCATTGTCACTACCACTCTCACTACCACACTACCCGTCACTGCCACTACCTCTGAAGCTACTACCATTACCACTGCGACTACGACTGCCGCAGTCACCGCCACTGTCACTACCAATACCACTAAAAAATTATCTATTATCTTCTCATCTATTTAATTTCATTGGTTGTAGCTGTACGCACAGTTCTTAACACAGAGCATAAGATTAAGGGAAGTTTGCTCAAGGTTGATCGTTGTCCAGAGATAAGGACTAGAACCGCCACGGAGGAGGTAAGTGGAAATTATGCCTAGAGCTCGCGCATTAGCTTTTTAACGATGAATGTCTTGCCAGAAATGCTGGGATGCAGTTTCCGCTGCCGATGATGTTCAAAATACGAGGTGCGACCCAAAATGGGTAATTATTTTGACTTAAAGCATCCGTTTACTTCAAGGAAGAAATGGTCGCCTGATTAACGCGATTATTTGTCGATAATCTAACTATTCTGCAGTGATTAATGAAAGTCAATGTCAATTATTCTGTAGAAAAAGTCAGCAGACCCAGCCTCGTACATGTACTTGCCCTGTGACCCTTCCTTCCTTATCCGTTTTATATGATCTAATACGCACTAACCACAACAAAAAAAAGAAAAAACAGAAAACAAACAAATAAAAAAAATTTAATAAATTAACATTAAAATATTAGATAACATTATATGAAAATTTCCCCCCCCAAAACTAAAAATTTAGTATAAATCTCTCTATATATACAATTAAAAAGGCAATTATAAGATTCAATTGAAAAATGTATTGAAACTAAGTAATTGAAATTATCTTAAAAACGTTAATTGATAAGTCATTCATGAGTCGTAAATCTATAAATCATAGGCTTCTTTAAAAAGTAAAGTTTTTAATTTGCCTTTGAGAGGCTTCAAGCTGGTTTCCATCCTTAATGCACTAATGCATGTGGATATAGCCCTGCCTGAGAACCCCTTAATACATGACACACAAACGTTTCTCCTCGATTTCTGTCCTTTTAGATCCTGCTTAGGATAATTATTTTGAATGTTATGCTCTTCAGGTATTTTCAGAAGTGGCAGCAAGGTTGGATCCCATCAACCTAGGTATTCAACGAGACGAGTGTAAGCAAATTTTGGATAAGATTGGTTTACCCTTTGAACACAAAGACCAACACTTCTGGATTCGTGGATCCCTAAGGGAAATCAATGAATGTCAAATACTCCTACAAAGAAATTTACAACAAGATGAGGAACTTTCTCATAGATTAGGCAAAATTTCATTAAAAACTGAGTATGTTCCAGCAGAGAAGGAAACCGTAGTAAGTCCAACTTCGAAGACCCTTAGTAGTGAGAACAAAGCTATAATCATAGCCACGCCGGTTTATGACGGTCTCACAGAAACGGATCTTATCTATGGGAAAATGGAAACAGAGGGGGTTAAAGAAATTGTCCATCCTATCATATCCGAAATACAGACGGTTAAGACTGACCGATTAGCCTTGAGCTTCATGAGGCAGGTCTATATGACACAAATACAAGACATCGCCAAGGAATGCCACGTCTCCTTTGATGCTGAGAATTTTGATACCCAGGTTACAGTGAAACCTAGAAAAGACTGCGATCCGACTAGATACAATGACGCTTGTAGCAGATTTTTCACTCTTCTTAATTCAGCCTCACAGGGTATGGTTACGTGGGAGCTGGATGAAAAAGGTGGTGACGGGGAAGTGGCCGTTTCTTTGATCAGACAGCTTTCGTCAGAGTACCCAGTTATACTTGACAAGCTCCAAGAAAACGGCCCTTTTGTTGTGTACGGAGATTCTGCATCGGTCGAGCAAGTAATGTTGAGGACACAGGAGAGAATGTGTGAACATACTGTTGGTGGTGATGTGCTTTTCGAAGCCCAGCAAATGGCCGTGGCAGGGCCAGGAAGCGTTTCAATAGTAACATATTCCTATTGCACGGAGGATGGTGTCAACTTTTCCTTACGTTACGGTGACATCACCAGTGAGAATGTCGATGCAATCGTTAACCCTGCAAACGAGTTTCTGCTGCATGGAGCTGGCCTTGCGAAGTACATTGTCAGGAAAGGTGGCCCTGATATCCAGAGAGAATCGAATGAACTGATATCAGAAAAACGGCGTGTACGTGGTAGACCATTGAGGGTGGGTGAAGCAGTCTACACCAAGGCCGGGAATTTGCCTTGCAAGTACGTCATACATGCTGTCGGTCCGGAATGGGGAAAACAATCCGAAAAAAAAACAGTTAATCTGCTTCAAAAGGCGTGCGTCGAGAGTCTTAAAGTGGCATCTAAGCTGTGCTTATCTTCCATCGCCCTACCTGCCATTAGCTCCGGAGTATTTAGTGTCCCAATAGACCTGTGTGCCTCGTCGATGCTAAAAGGAGTGGAGCAGTACCTGGAACAACTTAAAAAGGCCAAACTACAGAAAAAAGAAGACGCTGAGAAAGCAGATCTAAAAGAAACGAAAGCGGAAAAGAAGAGAAATGGAAAGAAAACAAAGAAAGCTCTAGAGGAGAAAACCGGGGGTGTAAGGGAACAAGAAGGTACAACCTTAGCAGACATTCGTTTCATACTTATTGATGCTGATGCAATGGATATCTTCCAAAAGGAGTGTGTCAAAAGTTTTAGCGAAAATCAAACAAACCCAAGCAGTGACGATGAAAGGCTTTAGTGCCCAACTGTACCCAAATGTTGGAAAGCTTGTAAAGAAGTTGTAAACACGCCTTTTTTTCCCGTAAAAATAATTGCCAAGAATTAGTTATCGGGAACAGGGTAAATCTCAAGAATTCCCAGGACTTCTTGAGAATTCTTGAGAAAGATTGCAACTTTACAAAATTTTCGGAAATTTTCGGGAATTCCCAAGAATTTTCAGTGGCGTCTTTTACACCTTCTGGGACTTATTCTCGAGAATATTGTGAGTTTCGATTTGACAAGGTAATTCAAAATACAATTCTTGAGAATTCTCAGGAATTGTCGGGACTGATAGTCTCGCTGACGCTAATATGCGCCCTATACTTGTTATTTTCAGGGTGACTATATAAGGCCCTGTTTACAAGGAGGGAGGGTAGCCCTGGCAAGACGGTTACCCTAGCACTCGCATATTTCTTATTTTTTAGACGACGTGTTTACAGGGCAGGTGGGATTACCCCTGTGCTAAGGTAACCCCTACCTGAGTGCTAAGGTTTCCATAGCAAGAGGGTTACCCTACCTGTCTTGTAAACGCTCTGCTAGGGGTAACTCGCCTACCCGGGACAACGTTCCTCCGTCATGCGTGACCACAGCTGTGACCTGAGTCAGTCATCAGGACAATTTGAACGGAATAATCCAATTTCTGAGCTAAATTTTAAACATCTGAACAATACAATGCACTTTCTGTATATGATGATAATATTCTCCCGTTTTGTCGTGAATTTAACGTGTTTTCCTTAAAGAACTTTAAGTTTTATTTCAAATCTTGGACGTTACAAAGAATATCACGCATTGCGAAACACATCAGTAAAGCTGGTAAAGTTGACCCGATAGGGTAACCCTACCGGTGAAATTTGCATATAAAGCAGAACTTACCTTAAACCTAGCACAAGGTTAAACCTCCCTGCTTGTAAATTCGTATTGAAATAATTGATCATCATATTTCTGACCCAAACCGTGTAGATCAGAACCCCAGAACCACCGTGATCATCATTAGGTCAGTATAAAAATGTTACGTGACTTAAAAAAACAATAAATAGTGTTTGCGAACTAAGATCTCACCTCTCTTTTGTTGCATGCAAATCAGCGCTCAAACAATTCTGCCTTATCGCCATCCTCCCTCCATGTCCACGGTTCTAGACTGACGTGCTATATAACTCAACGATCTCACGAAAACATAGGGGACTATGAACAGTCTACCACGGTTCTAACACGCGTGACTACGTTGCGATAGAGCGCTGCGGTCACGTGTGTGAGGCCAGTGCCATCTTTAAAATTTTACCGTTCGCAGTAGCAAGCGTCTCGAAAGGATTCAGCTACGCTGATTACTATTACACTATAAAGATACAGTATATATTTCACCTCTGCGGACTGTCTGGACCCGCAGATTATGTTCTCTGTTTTCATCCCGAACCAAAATGTCTTTGGATCGTTCAGATTCTGCAGATTGAATGGGATAACTTCAAGCAGCGTTTAATTATCGAGGTCAAGCAGTTACTGAACCTTACAGCGACAGCAGCTACTAACAAATGGGAGGTTTGCTTCCAATCAATTGTAAGTAGGGCACTAAACATTCCTTTTTTTTTTATATGGCTGAAATGTTTAAGCATTCACTCGAAATTTGGGTTCAATTAATGCGTCGAAGACTGACAATGTAACGATTTCATCTCACCCGGTGAGTGCAACCTTGTGAGTGTTCTCAGTGGTTGCGCGCCAGTCACGTCTTATTTTGCCCTCTATCGTATTTAAATTTACCTTTAGGAATGGCGAAAGTTCAATTCAAGCCTTGCCTCCTTCATAGCTATATTACTAATTATAATCTATTTCACTGATACCATTTCAATGAATTTCAATAGATCTTTCGTTACCTTCAGGGAGACTACTTGTAAAAGCCCGTAAGGGTTTCTTTAGTCTTCCTCCCAAATTTATTACATTGTAACACACCGTATGTACTGTATAATATTATGGGAAATAATAAACTCAACTTAACTCAACTAGAATAAGACTCCGTTCTTTTGATAAATGTAGTTACGGTTAAATTAATTTCTGACAATTCTTGGGAACTTGTCAATGTTCCTGTTCTATGGTTTTTGTAATTCTGTATGGTCATTGAGCTATTTTTCTCGTGGCAAAAACAATATTTTACTCATTCGCTGCGCTCGTTCGTAAAATATTGTTTTGGCGCTCGAAAATAAAATTCATACCTTCGCGCCACCGTGTAATATCATGTATCTTCGCTGAACTACTCCTACTGAAAAATGATCACAAAACTGCACCTACAAGAAACTGAAAACTGGACTAACAGGCCCTAAGCCCCGACATAAATTTAAACAATGATACTTATGATGGGTAACTGTAGAGGGATAATATCTAAATAAAATAACATACAAGGATGGAAGTAGCTTGAACAAACACCCCCCCCCCCCCCCCCCCCCCACCCTTCCCCACATCCCCCCCCCCCCCCACCCCCCGTTCCGCCCCCTTACCGGGTAGTACACCCCGCACACACCCCCACAAACACCAAACAGCCCTCTCCTTGGACCCTACGGGCTGGTCGTGTTTTCCAGGCCACTG